AACAGGAGTGGAAGTTAGAGGCGCTCCATCCATCGCGAGAAGCTCGGTATAACAACACGTAATCGTCACCTAAGCTTTCGCGAGTGTCCTTCAACCAGTCCACCAGGGTTTCGCGCTGTTCTGAAGAGAGAACTGCAGAATCTTTAAACGGCTTTGCTTTCAACTCATCGAGTATCCCATCGATTTGATAGAATTCCGCCTCACTTAACAACTCCTTGCGAACGACTTTATCGTTCGGTAACACGAGTTTCCCAGTGCGAAGATAATTTAAGATATGTCGGAAGTGTGTTCCGTCTCGGTCGATGAAGTAAGATCCATCCTCGCCAGGTTTTGTGTCAAATCTGCCTGAAAACATGGCATGTAACATGGAACCTGTGAAAGCAAGATGAAAAAACCCTTTTAATACCTAAATCCTTTTTTTTTTCAAAAAGAATCAACTACATTTACCCAATTTGGCGTGTGGCATCGAACATCACAAAGCAAGCTACATTCAACCGTATCAAAAAGGTTTTTAAGTGTGGTGTATTCAGTTAATTAGAAGTAATGGCGAATTCTTTAAGACCACGTTCCACATGCCTGTTCGTTTGCCTGTTCGTTTTTAAACAAGCACAGACACGCAGCTGTAAGCTCAGAAGTCAGCCTGCAAAATGTAAATATCGTTTTCAACAATGGACTTTAAATCGAATTCGATTCTCTCAACTACTTAAACAGCTGCAGATGCAACAAGATTTGAATTTATGGATAAACAATTGAGTGGAAGCGTACTTTGTACAGCATATCAAACCGCGAGATCTAAATCCTTAGTTCAAAATTCAAAACTTGCTTCAAGGTACCTGGATCTTTAGTCATAGTCGCCAAACTTGTGGAGAAAAAATGGCCTCCGACGTTGAGTTTCAGCATCGACGAGAAATGAACATGCTCGAGCTTCTTTGCCACCTCATCAAACGCATTTCTCTCCTTGCGAAGCCTGTTTGTCTCACGCTTCAGAATGTCGAAAGCGTCTTTGATGTGTTTATTTACTTTGTCTAAAGCTTCATCGCCTGGAAAATCTTTCTTTGAGTTACACTTCGTCGACATCTTAACTCAGTTGGGTGGGTTATACAAAAGGACGGGTATCAAAATCAAAATTTTTTTCTGAGAATCCCGAGATATTTTGTGTATTCTTAGAATTTGCGCGTTGCTTTGATTCTCGGTAAGTTAATTTCTCGGAAATTTATGGTGTATCAATTTCGTCATGCATGAATTACTTCGAGTCACGCCATGCATGAAAATTAATTGGATATTGGAAAACGTTAATTATCAATAACTGTGATTCAGCCAAAAGGTCTGGATAGCAGCAAATATGTCACGAATTTAAGAAAATATACGACCTCTTTTAAAAACATGTTTCGAAAGTTCTTCTGTCATCTTCAGTTCTGATTTATACAAAGTGCAAAGTTAAATTTAAAGTGTATGACAAAATGCTAATTGGACAAAACAGACAACAACAAACAAATGTATGCAATTACAAGGGAAGTCTTAAATTAACATGATAAAGTTGATGATTAATTACGCTGACTCGTAATGAATGCAATTCCCCGGTTTCCGTTTCAGACACTAGGCTGACCTTTTATTTCAGATTACCTTACATTGGCCCTTTTTCTGTTGTCACGTAAAAAGGGGTTCGCTACTTTGCTAAGTGTTATTGAAATAACATAAGTATTAATTTGGTTTTTTTATCTTTTAAAATGCGGTGAAATGATGCGGGTCATAACTTTTTTAGTGACTGACCAAGGAGAACTGGTAAGTCTACTCAGGAGCCCATTAATGGCTCCTGGTCTACTGTTGTAAGGGAAATCATAAGCAATCTTCAGGCGGCTGGAAAAAATGTTTCTGTGGCATGTTCCACTGGTATAGCATGAACAGTGTACGATCCTAGTGTTGCTTGTACCGAGTATTCCTATTATGAATTCGCTTCGCGGTCAATTTTACCGCATCTCTTCCCCGTCGACACTTTTTCAGCGAAAATAATTCAAGCTTAAGTGCTCACAGCAAATCCCACAGAATATGCAAAATTTGTCAGTTGTTTATCTGTTTTAATTTCACCTCGCTGTCTGATTGTAAATTAATGTATTGTATCACTCGTGGTAGAGAGAAAATTACTATTCCATTAAAAACTATTCCTTAAAATGTGTCAAATTATCAACGGTTCCTGTCGTGACTTAAGCCGAGTCACGCAAAGCGTGACGCCTTCATGGAATAATCGTTTGCTTTTCCTCTAGAAGTGAGCTTGGGCCACCTGTGCTTAAATTCCAAAAAACTATTCACATTCAATGGGAGCAACCTACACTTAATCATCGACGTTATCATATTAATTTAAAACTTTCATTGTAATTGTATACATTGTTTCGTTCTATTGTCTGTTTTGTCCAATGAGCATTTGTCATACACTTTAAATTCAACTTTGTACTTTGTATAAATCAGAACAGATGACAGTAGAACTGTCGAAAGATGTTTTTAAAAGATGTCGAATATTTTCTTTAACTGTGATTCTATATTTCCACCGTTTCGCTAAACACCTTACACTATGCAAGAAACCCACTATTAGAATGAAATGGATAAATTCAAAAGAAATGCACAGAGGATAAAATAACAGTTGAGTTAAGGCCTGACGAGTAAATAAATAAAAATAATGTAGAGTTGTGCAAAAGATAGAAAGGATGTAATACTCTAAGTATGACATTTTTGTGGTTTAGATAGTTCTCTGATTTTCCTGGATCGACGAAAGAACGTATCCTCAGAAAAAAATTTCGTAAAATGATAAGCCACAAAACCTTATCACTTCCGGTCCTGAAATGAGAAAATATCAACATCGTACCCAGGATTTTATCGGTCTATTTCTTTTTTTTATTTATTTATTTATTTTTTTAAGATGGCGGCCGGCCGGTTGGAAATATAACAGTGTTTCTGAAGAGTGGCTCCAAAAAGGTTACTCAAGGTTATTGAGGAAGACTCTGATTGATCCTCATGATGAAATTGATGAAGAAGGCCCAAAATCATATTAAAAGGTTTCCACTGATCATAAGATACCGATTTATGATAGAAGTGGCAAATTTAGAAAGCGGACTGGCTCTTGATTTAATGGTTACCAGGTGACTGCGTATTACAAATACACCACGTTATCTCACTACAGAACCAAGACGACAGGAACAACGCTTAATTTTAAAGGGGAACAGAAACTTAGAAGGAGATGACGGTTCTTTTTTCCTTTTTTTTTTTTTTTTTTTTTTTTTTTTTTACAAAACATGACATTCCTTTAAGCTCTAAAGAGTATCAACCTCAGAAAATCTAAAAAATCTTGGCACCCCCATAAATTTACATGAGAACTGAAGCTAGTTTAAAACCCTTACTCACCCTCCCCGCTTCCCCTCACAACACCTTAATAAAACAAACTGCCCCTGCCCCACTGCCTGCCTGTCGAATACAAATTCCAGGATTTAACAAAAGCTTCAAAATATGTGTATCTTCATATTTCTCGGAAATTGCACTGAGGTTTTTTCGATTAATTCTCGGTATTTCAATTTCCCAACAAACAACTGGTGACTCACCATTGAAATTTCGGAAATTGCACGAGGTTTTGAAGGTCCATTTCAAAACCCGACACTAATCGTGTCAAGTGACGTCACCCGACACTAATCTAATCTATGCAGAATTATATAACTTGATGATACATTTTGCGAAGTGGAACGTGAAAGTTTATCGAGATAAACAACAACATTGAAGTGAATTCATTTTCCATTTTTCGCGTAAATTTGCAATTCAGCGTCCGAGTTCAAATAAATACTTTAGTTTGCTCCAAGAATATAGGAAAAGATTACGAGCGGACGATGTTCGATTAGCATTGCGCTTACCAAACTAGATTTCATAGCATCGCGGCACTGTTCGCAAAGAGACCGAAAGTTGAAGGTGGACGATCCTCTGGCCCAAGTTCATTAAGATAGTGCACCTGGTCTTCTATGAGAGCTTTAACAGGCAGCACAAATAATATAGTCACCGGTTTCTTTTAGAGAAGAAAGCCGATGAATTACTGGCGCTGCTTGATATATTAAAGATTCTCCAAAGCCATTTGGAAACGAAAGAGACACATCGTTACCTTCAAAAAAGATATCGATGGCTTTCCGCTGTTCTTCTTGAAATTTTTCCATCCAAGAGTCACACAAACTACCTTAAAACCTCGTCATAGATCGCTTTTGTCTAAGAAGTTGACCATGCAAGCTTTTGTGCACCATCTTGTTCGTAAGAGTGAAAAAATAAATTACCAACCCTAGACAATCAGAATTCACAAAAGAACCGGCAAAAGGGGTTAACCAATAAAAAGCGGCTATATGTTTTCTTGCAAAAGAGTAACGTCACGTCACGGAAAACGATTAATGCCAGTTTTGCGCGGATGTTCCCTTGCTTCCATTTAACCTTGGGGTGGGGGGGGGGGGGGTACGGTTAGACGTGGGCTACTGGATGTTTAGTCATGCTGTGAAATGAGAATTCATAAGTGTTTTATCGTCCACTTCATTTCGCATGCTACTTTATTATACAAGCCTTTGAAACAGTCAAAAGACACGAAAGATTGGTTTGAAGCATCCCTGAGCGTCCAGAGGTATCGATAAGATTTACGAAAATTAGTTGTTGTGTGAACTTTTTTCAAAAAAAATTAATGAATCCCTCTTCAGAGCCAGCTTCCTGGGGCTTATATTACGCGCTTGACCGCCTTTGTCGGTTTTTTTCAAGACCTAGTTCGACGAGAATAGTCATGGGTTAACGTCCACAAGACAAATGAATAGAGGGGGAAAATTTCTAAAGAAATTGCTGCGTCGGTAGGAGAGTATTACAGGGTAATTTAGTATTATCAACTGAGTTGATAAGATAAATTGGCCACCGTGGAGAGTTTAAAAGCTAACGTTTCGATCATCAGCCCTTCGTCAGAGTGATTGGAGGAATTGTGGGTTGGGTGTTTGCTTATATGCAGAAAATAAGCTACGCTAGTGGTGGGAATATGGTGTCTTCGAGACAGAACGGTTAAACCAAATTCTGCCTTGGGTAATGGGGTTAAATTTCTAAAGAAACTGTACCGCCGCGTTGGTGGGGGTATCTTTGCCCAGAAAATTTCTAAAATAAATCAGTGCTCTAAGTAATAAATTAACATTTCCATGCAGGAGAGACAAGGCTACTACAAGGAAGCTGTTGCGTTCAAATGAATATAATTTGTCTGATGAGCAGGTCATAACTCAGGATAGATGCCTACGAGGAAATTTTCTTCTCTTTATGTTATGATGAAGCTACACAGTTTAAACTTTTTTTTCCTATTTCGGGATAATGCGCCCTTTTAGCACTTTATTGTTTTACATCAAGGTAATAAAAGCGACTTTCTAGGAGCTTTGGGATCAATATCAGTATCTGGGCAACTGCCCACCTACCCCTCCCCTAACCCAACATTAACCCTAAGTTGTTATCAATTGACTGTTGTTGAGTTAGGGGAGGGGTAGGTGGGCAGTTACCCAGATATTGATATTGACCGGGCTTTGTTTTACAAACTGAAGGCCTAACATTTGCTGGACCGCTAAACATATTTGTGCCCTTCCTAGTGTCATGGGCGTTAGGTATATTTTGCACTTCTATCGAGCTTTATATATATATATACAATCCGCATTCGATCTATAATGGTAATAGGACTGAGTGGAGTCCAACTGACTGAGTGGATAAACGCAAAGGGGGAGTCCGATTCGTCGATCAAAACAATGACAAAATTTGAGTTTGAAACTTGACATAGGTTATACACTTTCATTAACCTAAAAAACAACAACAACAACAGGGCGCAGTTGAATTTCAACTAGGCGAAATGCGCGGCAACAGCGCGCGCACACGACGTTAATTTGTCCTACTACACTGTCCAAATACAAGCATGGCGCGTTCACTGTCCTGTTAGTGCTCAAATCGGGCAGGTGACAACCAATCATGTTCGAGAATTTTGTTATAGTTTTGATTATGTTTGTCAATCCTCTACTGAAACAGTCGTCGCAAACGTTTCTTTTAATAACTCAGTCTTGCTCAAGTAACAACAACACACTTAACTGACTAGCAAACAATTCTTGAAAATCAAAAGCAAGAAACGAATGTTCACAAGCCAGATCAGTTCCACAAAAAGGTTTTGAAAGCCTCTTACTTCTCCAATCTAGTATAAAAAAAAAAATTCACTAACAACAACATAACTAAGAGGAAATTAGTCATTAGCTGATGTTTACAATATCTGTTGTAGTCTCATCAGGAAGAGAAAATTGACAACGATGCCTTTAATTTTTGAACACAAAAACTTCCATTTCATTCACAACGAAGTGTTGACTTCCTGTTAAAAAAAGGTTACCATTCTGACCTGCTGGGCACCGGTATGTAATGCCAAGGTTAACGGAGCAGTTGGAGGAATTTGGAGAATCTGGAACGCAAAGATCATGTCCACCTCCAAATACTGGACCACGGCTATTGTGGCAGTAGATGGCACTTCCTTCCTTACCATCTATCAAAGGCATCTTTGTTGGTGGCAAGCCACTGGCATTGACAAGGCTGAACAGGAAAGAACCTGGTGCTCTTTTGTACGGTGCAGTATCTGGTAAAAAATATTTACTGAGTTAGATTGGTTGTATAACAATTCTCGGTAGCAAATAGGGACAAAACCAGGACAAGAAATTGTCACGGCAATAATTAACGCTTGTGCTTGTAGCTGGAGCTATCATTTTCATGTCAGTGCATCACGACCTCTAAAAAATCACTCTGCCCTTGGCTTACTTTAGATGAGACAGAAGTTCACTTCCTTAAAATAAAGGAGGCTTGGTGTTCAACTCTAGAAAGATGTTTCTCATCGAAGACTATGGTAACACCTAGCTGAAATATACAAAAAAAAAAACAACAACCCTGTCATAAGATAGAAGTCCCTCTGAAACGAAAATAAAAACAAAATAAACAAAACAAAACAAAAACAAAACAAGACAAAACAAAACAACCAAAAACACAAAGTAAAAATACAGCTACAACAACAGCAAAAACATCAATGCATTATTCATGGTATTAGGGAGTCCTATAAAACCTGACATTTTCATTGAACTGTCAGTCAAAAGGGTTTATCACTCAGAGATGTAAGCAAGCTGACTCACCGTACAAGAAATGAGGGGGCAGGGGGGCGGTTGGCTGAATCTTCCATTAATTTTTAATGAAGTTGTGAAAGCAGAAAGCTAACTAAGAAGGTTCTCAAGATTAGGTTTGTGCTGTATACCAGGAAGCTCTCATTTGGGAGTTTTTTGTAGAGCTAGATCGATTGTGAAAGAATCACTTTCTGATTGATTTAAGTTTTTTTTTTATATTTTGGCAGAATCATCATTACATTTTCCCAAAAAGAAAAGAAGAAAAAGGGTAGAAGTTCCCAAGCAAAAGACTTCTTGCTTCTGTAATTAACCTGTAAATGGAAAGTAAACAGCAAATTTGAGAGCAGAATATTAGGATGGAGTATTTTATCATAAGGGGGAGAGGGGGGGGAGTAAAGGAGTTTGATTCAATGGGGCTGACAGAAAGGTCTCTTACCTGACGATTGCCATGACTGCTCAGTATATCCTCCAAATATGTAGTTTCCATACTTGATCACTGTAACTGTTGGTCCTTTGTTATCACAACAGGAGTGGAAGTTAGAGGCGGCCCATCCATTGCGAGAAGCTCGGTATAACAACACGTAATCGTCGCCTAAGCTTTCGCGTGTGTCCTTCAACCAATCTACCAGGATTTCACGCTGTTCTGAGGAGAGAATTGCAGAATCTTTAAACGGATTTGCTTTCAACTCATCGAGTATCCCATCGATTTGATAGAATTCTGCCTCGTTCAACAACTCCATGCGAACGACTTTATCGTCCGGTAAGACGAGTTTCCCAGTGCGAAGGTAATTTAAGATATATCGGAAGTGTGTTCCGTCTCGGTCGATGAAGTAAGATCCATCCTCGCCAGGTTTTGTGTCAAATCTGCCTGAAAACATGGAATGAAACATGGAACCTGTGAAAACAAGATGAAAAAACCTCCTTTTAATACCTAAATCCTTTTTTTTAAATATAATCAACTTCATTTACCCAGTTTGGCGGGTGGCATCGTACATCACATGGCAAACTATAGTCAGCCATATCAAAATTGTTTTCATCGTGATGTAGTGAGTTAACTAGAAGTAATGGTGGATTATTTAGGACTGCGTTTCACATGCCTGTCCGTTTTTAAACAAGCGTAAAGACGCAGGTAAAAGCTCAGAAATCGGCATGCAAAACGGAAGTACCGTTCCGAACAATGGACTTTAAAATCGAATTCTCTCAACAACTAAAACAGCTGCGGACGCAAGTAGGATTTATATTTATGGATAAAAAATTGAGTGGAGGCGAACTTTGTACAGTTTATCAACCAGCTAGATCTCAATCCTTAGTTCAAAATTCAAAACTTGCTTCAAAGTACCTGGATCTTTAGTCATAGTCGCCAAACTTGTGGAGAAAAAATGGCCTCCGACGTTGAGTTTCAGCATGGTCGAGAAATGAACATTCTCGAGCTTCTTTGCCACCTCGTCAAACGCATTTCTTTCCTTGCGAAGCTTTTTCGTCTCACGATTCAGAATGTCGAAAGCGTCTTTGATGTGTTTATTTACTTCATCTAAGGCTTCAAAGCCGGGTAGATCTTTCTCTGAGTTACGCTTCGACGACATCTTAATCCAAGTGAGTCAAACAAAAGGACAGGTGTCGAAAGCAACTTTTTTTTTTTTCCGAGAAGCCCGAGATATTTTTTCTATTCTCAGAATCCGATTTCTTGGAAATATATGGTGTATCAATTTCATCATGTATTAATTACTTGGAAAACGTTAATTAGAAATGACTGTGTTTCAATATTTACACAATTTTAAGCTGAACACTACTGACTATGCAAGAAACCCAATATTAGAATGAAACAGATAAAATCAAACAAAATGTACAGAGGAGACAATAACAGATAAGGATGCTCCAAAGGGTTTTTAAAAATGTTGGCGTGCGCGTCAGTGCAACGAATTTTCTAAAAAAATGTTTATGTTTTCGCTTTTCAAGGTCACTAAAAGCCATTAAAAGGCTATGAGTAAAGTTCAGACTATCGCTTGCTGTAGTAAATATCATGGAAATGATTTTCATCAATAAGCTAAGAGTCCACGAAGGGAGGCGCTCGCCATCAATAATTTGGCTTTGTCTTTGATTTTCTTTAATTTGTTTCTATGAAATCTTTCAAAATTTTTATAATTTGTAAATATTGTCCTGCCGATCTTTTAAAAGCCGAAAAAAAAATAGGTTTAAAAAGGCAGTTGCCTCGCTATTTGAAATTTTATAACTTGGTCTTATTTTTCTGTTAACAGGCACTAGAAAGGGTACAAGTATGGTTAAAAGTCCATCAAACCTTAGGAAATTCCATCGGAGGAAACGCGATGAATCTCACTTGAAAGACAGCTATTTTCTTTGTCTTAAAACGTTACGTAATGGAATGAAACTTCGCCAAGATCGGTATCTAAGCTTGTGTAGACTTTCGAATCTGTCGCCCTTTGGCAATCTTTCCCACGGTGTTTCCTTTTCGGTTGATCTCTTTTTCAGGCGCACAAGGCTTATGAATATTATGGATGCAGTTACCGGAAACCCTAGATTCCATCACATAAAAAAAATGTATTGTGTTAAACTGTTTTCAACACACTTTTTCAGATAACAATCGTGCGATCTTATCGAGCCGCCATGTTCGTTTTGCATGTTCACACTTTTAAAGCTTGTGCTATGTTCCCACCCAGATCTCGCGCGGTCACAAAATCCTACGGAGCTTCCTTAAGGTAGGGCATGACGAGGAAAGCACTAAAATTGATGAAAAATTGTACAAGAGATAGAAACGATGCCTTACTCTAAGCATGAAAATTTGTCTTGTAGTTTTCTAATTTTATTGGATCGACAAAAGTAAGTATCCGCTGAAAAAAAAAATTGCGTAAATTTTTTAATTAAAAAAACAATGAATCCCTCCTCGGAGCCGGCTTCTTGTAGCTTATATTAAGCGCTTGGCCAAGCTGATTAGTCATGGGTCAATGTCTAGAAGACAAGTGAATAGAGGATTCAGTCCTAAAGAAACTGTGATGCTGCGTCGGTGGAAGAGTATAGCAGGGTAATTCAGTTAGTATTATCAACTGAGTTGATAGCGTAAATTGGCCACCCTAAAGATTTTAAAGCTGACGTGTCGAGCGTTAGCCCTCCGTTAGAGCGATTGGAGGAACTGTGATTTGTCTGTGTGTGTTTATATGCAGGAAATAGAGCTACGCTATTAATGGTGTCTTCAAGACAGAACGGTTAAACCAAACCCAGCTCTGAGTTGATAATGCAAATTGTGATGAATTTCAATAGCCGATGTTTCTAACGTTAGCCCTTTGTCAGAACTGAAGGTACCTTTGCCGAGAAGATATCTTAAAAAACAGTGCTCAAGGCAATAAATCAACGTTTCCAGGTGAGATAAGGCCTCTACAAGAAAGCTGCTAAGTTCAAATAAATATCATTTTTGTCTGATCAACAGGTCATAACTCAGGATAGATGCCTACGAGGACGTTTTCTTCGCTTTATATTTTGATGAAGCTACACAGTTTCAAAATCTATTTGGCTATTTCGGGATAATCTGCTCCTTTACAAACTTTGATATTTTCACATGAAGGTAGTAAAAGCGACCTTTACAAACTTACAAAAAATATATTCTGCGAAATAAATTTCAGGTTTTCACGATCTTCTTTTTTATGTCTCCTGCTTGTGATAGCAGATAGCAGCATTTTCATTATGTAAGACCAAATTTAGGTTTGAATGATTCCTCTCCCTTTGAATAAGTTGAAAATTTATCACTAGGAAACATCCTAACCATGCTCATAAATTCCCACACTGCCCTGACTTTAGCTCACCGCTGTTTATTAAAGAGCTTTGGGATCAATATCAGTATCTGGGCAACTGCCCACCTACCCCTCGCCTAACCCAACATTAACCCTAACTTGTTATCAATTGACTGTTGTTGAGTTAAGGGAAGGGTAGGTGGGTGGTTGCCCAGATACTGATTTTGATGCAGGTTTTTTTTTACAGATTGAACGCCTAACACTTGCTGGACCGTTAAACATATTTGTGCCCTTCCTAGTGTCATGGATGTTAGGCATCTTTTGCGCTTTTATTGAGCTTTATATACATATACAACCCGCATTCGGTTTATAATGGTAATAGGACTGAGTGGGGTCCAACTGACTGAGTGGATGAACGCGAAGAGGAAGCCAATCAAAACTATGACAAAATTTGAGTTTGAAACTTGTCATAGGTTATGCACTTTCATTAACCAAAACAAAAACAACAACAATAGGGCCCAGTTGAATTTTAACGAGGCGAAATGCGCGTAACAGCGCGCGCACATGAGGTTAATTTGTCCTGTTACACTGTCCAATTACAAGCATGGCGCGTTCACTGTCTTATTAGTGCTCAAATCAGGCTGGTGGTAACCATTCATTTTCGATAATTTTGTTATAGTTTTGATTATGTTTGTCAATCCAGCACAAAAACAGTCCTCGCAAACGTTTGTTTTAATAACTCGATCTTGTTCAAGTAACAACAAGACACTTAAATGACTAGCAAACAATTCTTCAAAAAATCAAAAGCAAGAAACGATCCCTCACATGTCAGATCAGTTCAACAAAAATATTATAAAAGCCTCTTACTTCTCCAATCAGGTAACAAAGACAAATTTTTTCTAACAACAACATGACTAAGAGGAAATTAGTCACTAGCTGATGTTTACAATATCTGTTGTAGTCTCATCAGGAAGAGAAAAATGACAACGATGCCTTTAATTTTCGAGCACAAAAACTTCCATTTCATTCACAACGAAGTATTGACCTCCTGTTAAGAAAAGGTTACCATTCTGACCTGCTGGGCACTGGTATGTATTTCCAAGGTTAACGGAGCAGTTGGAGGAATTTGGACAATTTGGAACGCAAAGATCATGTCCACCTCCAAATACTGGACCACAGCTACTGTAGCAGTAGATGGCACTTCCTTCCTTACCATCTATCAAAGGCATCTTTGTTGGTGGCAAGCCACTGGCATTGACAAGGCTGAACAGGAAAGAACCTGGTGCTCTTTTGTACGATGCAGTATCTGATAAAAGATATTTACTGAGTTACATTGGTTGAATAACAATTCTCGGTAGCAAATAGGGACAAAACCAGGACAAGAAATTGCCACAGCAATAATTAACGCCTGTGGTTGTAGCTTGAGCTATTATTTTCATTTCAGTGCATCACGACCTCTAAAAAATCACACTGCCCTTACGTTACTCTGAGATGAGAGAGAAGTTCACTTCCTTAAAATAAAGGAGACTTAGTGTTCAGCTCTAGAAAGATTTTTCTTATCGATGGTTTGACTATGCAATGGTAACAGCTAATTTAAAATATACAAAAAAAAACAACAACAACAACCCTGTCATGAGATCGAAGTCCCTCTCAAACGAAAAAAAAAACCCACACACAAAAAACAACAAAACCAAACAAAGTTAACAAAGAAAACAAAAAAACAAAGCAAACATAAAAACAAAATAAAAATGCCGCTACAACAACAGCAAAGACATCAATGCATTATTCATGGTATTAGGGAGTCCTACAAAACCTGACATTTTCATTGAACTGTCAGTCAAAAGGGTTTATCACTCCGAGATGTAAGCAAGCTGACTCACCGTACAAGAAAGGAGGGGGGATGGGGGCGGTTGGCTGAATCTTCCATTAGTCCTTAATGAAGTTGTTAAAGCAGAAAGATTACTAAAAGGTTCTTAAGATGAGGTTTGGGCTGTATGCCAGGAAGCTCTCATTTGGGAGTTTTTTGTAGAACTAGATCGATTGTAAAGGTATCACTTTCTGATCGATTTAAGTCTTTTTGGTATTTTGGCAAAATCATCATTACATTTCCCCAAAATAAAAAGAAGAAAAAGATAGAAATTCACAAGCATAAGACTTCTTGCTTCTGTAATTAACTTGTAAATGGAAAGCAAACAGCAAATTTGAGAGCAAAATATTAGGATGGGATATTTTATCATAAGGGGGGTGGGGGAGGGGAGTAATGCAGTTTGATTCAGCGGGCTGACAGAAAGGCCTCTTACTTGATGATTGCCATGGCTGCTCAGTATATCCTCCAAATATGTAATTTCCGCTCTTTATCACTGTAACTGTTGGTCCTTTGTTATCACAACAGGAGTGGAAGTTAGAGGCGGCCCATCCATTGCGAGAAGCTCGGTATAACAACACGTAATCGTCGCCTAAGCTTTCGCGAGTGTCTTTCAACCAATCTACCAGGGTTTCGCGCTGTTCTGAAGAGAGAATTGCAGAATCTTTAAACGGATTTGCTTTCAACTCATCGAGTATTCCATCGATTTGATAGAATTCCGCCTCGCTTAACAACTCCTTGCGAACGACTTTATCGTCCGGTAGTACGAGTTTCCCAGTGCGAAGATAATTTAAGATATGTCGGAAGTGTGTTCCATCTCGATCGATGAAGTAAGATCCATCCTCGCCAGGTTTTGTGTCAAATCTGCCTGAAAACATGGCATGTAACATGGACCCTGTGAAAACAAGATGAACAAAACCATTCTAATATACCTTAATCCTTTTTTTTTTTTTTCAAAAAGAATCAACTACATTTATCCAATTTGGCGTGTGGTATCGTACATCACGAAGCAAGCTGCATTCAACCGTATCAAAAATGTTTTTATTTCATAGGTACTGAGATTTACCCACAAAAATCGTAGTGAATGAAATTCGTACTGATTCTAAATGTAGCCAGTCAGGAGTACGAACAACAAAATTTCACCGTGAAAAATTATCGTTCGTCCAATCAGCAACGCGAACGACGAAATTTCACTAATGATGAATGAACGTACTGAAGAGAACGTCATGCGAGAGCCGTTGCACAAAACCCGCGCGCTTTGAAAAATGGCCGAGGGAAGGTTCGCTTCTGTTTACTCAGTTAAAGAATTCATTTTAGAACACGAAAACAAAAATACCGCTCAAAAAAACTGAAAGAGATGTAAGATTGCTTAAACGATTTTTGAAAACGAAGGACGAAGACAGGAAAATTGAAGCTATTTCAGCGGCTGAGTTGAATGAATTCATTAGCGAATTTATTATCTCCGTACGCACTAAAGATGGCAACGAGTACGAGCCGCCTAGACATTGAACTTGATTGATATCTGATGAACACAGGTAAGCTTAAGTGTTATGAACTTTATGCACTTTTATTAACTTGTTGTTGAGAACTTTTTAAACTATTTTTTACGCTTTTCATCGCCCCATCTGTGCTATTTGTCTACCAAAGACAACACGAAAAAATCTCAGCAGCTATGAAATAAACACATTACAGCATGGAAAATGCTTTGTACGATTTTCATTCACTCGTTGATACGTATCAGAAAACTCACTCGTTCGCTGCGCTCACTCGTTCGTTTTCTGATACTACACAACTCGTGAATAAAAATCGTACGCGCGCATTTTCCATGAAGTAATCTCTATTTACTGTGGTGAATTCAGTTGACTAGAAGTAATGGCGGATTATTTAAGACTGCGTTCCACACGCCTGCTCGTTTTTAAACAAGCACAGAGACGCAGGTGTAATTTCAGAAGTCAGCCGCTAAACGTTAGTATCGTTTTGAACAATGGACATAAAAATCGAATTCTCTCAACTACTTAAACAGTTGCGGATGCAAACATAATTTGAATTTATGAATAAACTATTGAATGAAAGCGAACTTTGTACAGTGTATCAAAAAGCTAGATCTCAATTCTTAGTTCAAAATTCAAAACTCGCTTTAAAGTACCTGGATCTTTTGTCATTGTCGCCAAACTTGTGGAGAAAAAATGGCCTCCGACGTTGAGTTTCAGCATGGTCGAGAAATGAACATGCTCGAGCTTTTTTGCTACCTCGTCAAACGCATTTCTTTCCTTGCGAAGCTTGTTTGTCTCACGCTTCAGAATGTCGAAAGCGTCTTTGATGTGTTTATTCACTTCGTCTAAGGCTTCATCGTCGGGTAAATCTTTCTTTGAGTTACGCTTTGTCGACATCTTAATTCAAGTGGGTTATGCAAAAAAGGACAGGTGACGAAATCAATGTTTTTCCTGAGAATCCCGAGATGTAACGTCTATTCTTAGAATTTGCGTGTTGCTGTGATTCTCGGTAAGTTGATTTCTCGGAAATGTATGGGTGTATCAATTTCATAATGCATAAATTACTTCGAGTCACGCCATGCATAAAAATTAATTGAATATTGGAAAACGTTGATTATCAAGTAGTGTATTCCTATTATGAGTTCGCTTCGCGGTCAATTTTACCGCATCTCTTCCCCGTCGACACTTTTTCAGCGAAAATAATTGAAGCTTAAGTGCTCACAGCAAATCCCACAGAATATGCAAAATTTGTCTGTTGTTTATCTGTTTTAATTTCACCTCGCTGTCTGATTGTAAATTAATATATTGTATCACTCGTGGTAGAGAGAAAATTACTATTCTATTCAAAACTATTCCTTAAAATGTGTCAAATTATCAACGGTTCCTGTCGTGACTTAAGACCGAGTCACGCAAAGCGTAACGCCTTCATGAATTAATCGTTTGCTTTTTCTCGAGACGTGAGCTTGGGCCACCTGCGCTTAAATTTAAAAAAAGCTATTCACATTCAATGGGAGCGACCTACACTTAATCATCAACGTTATAATATTAATTTAAAACTTTCACTGTAATTGCATTCATTGTTTCGTTCTATTGTCTGTTTTGTCCAATGAGCATTTGCCATACACTTTAAATTCAACTTTGTACTTTGTATAAATCAGAACAGAAGATGACAGTAGAACTGTCGAAATATATTTTTGAAAGATGTCGAATATTTTCTTAAACTGTGATTCTATATTTGCACCGTTTCGCTAAACACCTTACACTATGCAAGAAACCCACTATTAGAATGAAATGGATAAATTCAAAAGAAATGCATAGAGGATAAAATAACAATTGAGTTAAGGCCTGACGAGTAAATAAATAAAAATAATGTAGAGTTGTGCAAAAGATAGAAAGGATGTAATACTCTAAGTATGACATTTTTGTGGTTTAGATAGTTCTCTGATTTTCCTGGATCGACAAAAGAACGTATCCTCAGAAAAAAATTTCGTAAAATGATGAGCCACAAAACTTTATCACTTCCGGTCCTGAAATGAGAAAATGTCAACATCGTACCCAGGACTTTATCGGTCTATTTCTTTTTATTTTTTTTGTTAAGATGGCGGCCGGCCGGTTGGAAATATAACAGTGTTTCTGAAGAGTGATATAAGATCATAAGATACCGATTTAAGATAGAAGTGGCGATTTTAGGAACTGGGCTGGCTCTTGATTTAATGGTTACCAGGTGACTGCGGATTACAAATACACCACGTTATCTCACTACAGAACCAAGACGACATGAACAACGCTTAATTTTAAAGGGGAACAGAAACTTAGAAGGAGATGAAGGTCCTTTCTTTTTTTTTTTTTTTTTTTTTTTTTTTACGCATAGGTACAAAACATGACCTTCCTTTAAGCTCTAAATAGTATCAACCTCAGAAAATCTAAAAAAACTTGGCACCCCCATAAATTTACATGAGAACTGAAGCTAGTTTAAAAACCTTACTCACCCACCCCCGCTTCCCCTCATAACACCTTAATAAAACAAACTGCCCCTGCCTGCCCCCACTGCCTGCCTGTCGAATACAAATTAAGGCTTCCTTTTCTTTACGAACTTTACTTATCTCGCGCCTCAAAATACTCAATGTATCAGTAATGTGCTTGTTTACTTCGTCTAGGGCTATGTCGTTCGGCAAATCTTTCTTTGAACTGCGAGAGAAAGACATCTCAGACTCTTTCGCATCGTTTTGCGAGTCACTTTTCTTCGAAATGCGGGAGGGAAACATTTCAACTTTCTCCAACAAGCCGTCGACGAGTACGAAATGCAAAGAGTTCCAGGATTTAACAAAAGCTTCTATGTCTTCATATTTCTCGGAAATTGCACGAGGTTTTGATTAATTCTCGGTATTTCGATTTCTCAGAAACAATTGGTGACTCACCATTGAAAGGAAGCGAGGGAAGGTCCACGCAAACCCGACACGAATCGTGTCAAGTGACGTCACTCTAAGCTATGCAGAATTATATAACTTGATGATACATTTTGCGAGGTGGAACGTGTTAGCGTGAAAGTTTATCGAGATAAACAACAACATTGAAGTGAATTCATTTTCCATTTTTCGGGTAAATTTGCAATTCAGCGTCCGAGTTCAAATAAATACTTTAGTTTGCTCCAAGAATATAGGAAAAGATTACGAGCGGACGATGTTCGATCATCATTGCGCTTACCAAACTAGATTTCATAGCATCGCGGCACTGTTCGCAAAGAGACCGAAAGTTGAAGGTGGACGATCCTCTGGCCCAAGTTCATTAAGATAGTGCACCTGGTCTTCTATGAGAGCTTTAACGGGCAGCACAAATAATATAGTCACTGGTTTCTTTTAGAGAAGAAAGCCGATGAATTACTGGCGCCGCTTGATATATTAAAGATTCTCCAAAGCCATTTGGAAACGAAAGAGACACATCGTTACCTTCAAAAAAGATATCGATGGCTTTCCGCTGTTCTTCTTGAAATTTTTCCATCCAAGAGTCACACAAACTACCTTAAAACCTCGTCATAGATCGCTTTTGTCTAAAAAGTTGACCATGCAAGCTTTTGTGCACCATCCTGTTCGTAAGAGTGAAAAAAAAAAATTACTAACCCTAGACAATCAGAATTCACAAAAGAACCGGCAAAAGGGGTTAACCAATAAAAAGCGGCTATATATTTTCTTGCAAAAGAGTGACGTCACGGAAAACGATTAGTGCCAGTTTTGCGCGGATGTTCCCTTGCTTCCATTTCACCTTGGGGTAGGGGGGGAGGGGGGAGGGTACTGTTAGACGTGGGCTACTGGATGTTTAGTTATGCTGTGCAATGAGAATTCAGAAGTGTTTTATCGTCCACTTCATTTCGCATGCTACTTTATTATACAAGCCTTTGAAACAGTCAAAAGACACGAAAGATTGGTTTGAAGCATCCCTGGGCGTCCAGAGGTATCGATAAGATTTACGAAAATTAGTTGTTGTGTGAACTTTTTTAAAAAAAATTAATGAATCCCTCTTCAGAGCCAGCTTCCTGGGGCTTATATTACGCGCTTGACCGCCTTTGTCGGTTTTTTTCAAGACCTAGTTCGACGAGAATAGTCATGGGTTAACGTCCACAAGACAAATGAATAGAGGGGAAAATTTCTAAAAAAAATTGCTGCGTCGGTAGGAGAGTATTACAGGGTAATTTAGTATTATCAACTGAGTTGATAAGATAAATTGGCCACCGTGGAGAGTTTAAAAGCTAACGTTTCGATCATCAGCCCTTCGTCAGAGTGATTGCAGGAATTGTGGGTTGGGTGTTTGCTTATATGCAGAAAATAAGCTACGCTAGTGGTGGGAATATGGTGTCTTCGAGACAGAACGGTTAAACCAAATTTTGCCTTGGGTAATAGGGTTAAATTTCTAAAGAAACTGTACCGCCGCGTTGGTGGGGGTATCTTTGCCGAGAAAATTTCTAAAATAAATCAGTGCTCTAAGTAATAAATTAACATTTCCATGCAGGAGAGACAAGGCTACTACAAGGAAGCTGTTGCGTTCAAATGAATATAATTTGTCTGATGAGCAGGTCATAACTCAGGATAGATGCCTACGAGGAAATTTTCTTCTCTTTATGTTATGATGAAGCTACACAGTTTAAACTTTTTTTTCCTATTTCGGGATAATGCGCCCTTTTAGCACTTTATTGTTTTACATCAAGGTAATAAAAGCGACTTTCTAGGAGCTTTGGGATCAATATTAGTATCTGGGCAACTGTCCACCTACCCCTCGCCTAACCCAACATTAACCCTAACTTGTTATCAATTGACTGTTGTTGAGTTAGGGGAGGGGTAGATGGGCAGTTACCCAGATATTGATATTGACCGGGCTTTGTTTTACAAACTGAAGGCCTAACATTTGCTAGCGTCATGGGCGTTAGATATATTTTGCACTTCTATCGACCTTTATATATATATATATACAATCCGCATTCGATCTATAATGTTTATAGGACTGAGTGGAGTCCAACTGACTGAGTGGATAAACGCAAAGGGGGAGTCCGATTCGTCAATCAAAACAATGACAAAATTTTAGTTTGAAACTTGACATAGGTTATACACTTTCATTAACCTAAAAAACAACAACAGCAACAGGGCGCAGTTGAATTTCAACTAGGCGAAATGCGCAGCAACACCACGCGCACACGACGTTAATTTGTCCTACTACACTGTCCAAATACAAGCATGGCGCGTTCACTGTCCTGTTAGTGCTCAAATCGGGCAGGTGACAACCAATCATGTTCGAGAATTTTGTTATAGTTTTGATTATGTTTGTCAATCCTCTACTGAAACAGTCGTCGCAAACGTTTCTTTTAATAACTCAGTCTTGCTCAAGTAACAACAACACACTTAACTGACTAGCAAACAATTCTTGAAAATCAAAAGCAAGAAACGAATGTTCACAAGCCAGATCAGTTCCACAAAAAGGTTTTGAAAGCCTCTTACTTCTCCAATCTAGTATAAAAAAAAAAATTCACTAACAACAACATAACTAAGAGGAAATTAGTCATTAGCTGATGTTTACAATATCTGTTGTAGTCTCATCAGGAAGAGAAAATTGACAACGATGCCTTTTATTTTTGAGCACAAAAACTTCCATTTCATTCACAACGAAGTATTGACTTCCTGTTAAAAAAAGGTTACCATGCTGACCTGCTGGGCACTGGTATGTAATGCCAAGGTTAACGGAGCAGTTGGAGGAATTTGGAGAATCTGGAACGCAAAGATCATGTCCACCTCCAAATACTGGACCACGGCTATTGTGGCAGTAGATGGCACTTCCTTCCTTACCATCTATCAAAGGCATCTTTGTTGGTGGCAAGCCACTGGCATTGACAAGGCTGAACAGGAAAGAACCTGGTGCTCTTTTGTACGGTGCAGTATCTGGTAAAAAATATTTACTGAGTTAGATTGGTTGTATAACAATTCTCGGTAGCAAATAGGGACAAAACCAGGACAAGAAATTGTCACGGCAATAATTAACGCTTGTGCTTGTAGCTGGAGCTATCATTTTCATGTCAGTGCATCACGACCTCTAAAAAATCACTCTGCCCTTAACTTACTCTAGATGAAATAGAAGTTCACTTCCTTAAAATAAAGGAGGCTTGGTGTTCAACTCTAGAAAGATGTTTCTCATCGAAGACTATGGTAACACCTAGCTGAAAATATACAAAAAAAAACAACAACCCTGTCATAAGATAGAAGTCCCTCTGAAACGAAAATAAAAACAAAATAAACAAAACAAAAACAAAACAAGACAAAACAAAACAAAACAACCAAAAAAACAAAGTAAAAATATAGCTACAACAACAGCAAAAACATCAATGCATTATTCATGGTATTAGGGAGTCCTATAAAACCTGATATTTCATTGAACTGTCAGTCAAAAGGGTTTATCCCTCAGAAATGTGAGCAAGCTGACTCACCGTACAAGAAATGAGGGGGCAGGGGGGCGGTTGGCTGAATCTTCCATTAGTTTTTAATGAAGTTGTGAAAGCAGAAAGCTAACTAAGAAGGTTCTCAAGATTAGGTTGGTGCTGTATACCAGGAAGCTTTCATTTGGGAGTTTTTTGTAGAGCTAGATCGATTGTGAAAGAATCACTTTCTGATCGATTTAAGTTTTTTTTTGATATTTTGGCAGAATCATCATTACATTTTCCCAAAAAGAAAAGAAGAAAAAGGGTAGAAGTTCCCAAGCAAAAGACTTCTTGCTTCTGTAATTAGCCTGTAAATGGAAAGTAAACAGCAAATTTGAGAGCAGAATATTAGGATGGAGTATTTTATCATAAGGGGGGGGGGGGGGAGTAAAGGAGTTTGATTCAAGGGGGCTGACAGAAAGGCCTCTTACTTGACGATTGCCATGACTGCTCAGTATATCCTCCAAATATGTAGTTTCCATACTTGATCACTGTAACTGTTGGTCCTTTGTTATCACAAAAGGAGTGGAAGTAAGAGGCGGCCCATCCATTGCGAGAAGCTCGGTATAACAACACGTAATCGTCGCCTAAGCTTTCGCGTGTGTCCTTCAACCAATCTACCAGGGTTTCACGCTGTTCTGAGGAGAGAATTGCAGAATCTTTAAACGGATTTGCTTTCAACTCATCGAGTATCCCATCGATTTGATAGAATTCTGCCTCGTTCAACAACTCCTTGCGAACGACTTTATCGTCCGGTAAGACGAGTTTCCCAGTGCGAAGGTAATTTAAGATATATCGGAAGTGTGTTCCGTCTCGGTCGATGAAGTAAGATCCATCCTCGCCTGGTTTTGTGTCAAATCTGCCTGAAAACATGGCATGAAACATGGAACCTGTGAAAACAAGATGAAAAAACCTCCTTTTAATACCTAAATCCTTTTTTTTAAATATAATCAATTTCATTTACCCAGTTTGGCGGGTGGCATCGTACATCACATGGCAAACTATAGTCAGCCATATCAAAATTGTTTTCATCGTGATGTAGTGAGTTAACTAGAAGTAATGGTGGATTATTTAGGACTGCGTTCCACATGCCTGTCCGTTTTTAAACCAGCGTAAAGACGCAGGTAAAAGCTCGGAAATCGGCATGCAAAACGGAAGTACCGTTCCGAACAATGGACTTTAAAATCGAATTCTCTCAACTACTAAAACAGCTGCGGACGCAAGTAGGATTTGAATTTATGGATAAACAAGGCCTATGAATATTACGGATGCAGTTAACTAGAAATAATGGTGGATTATTTAGGACTGCGTTTCACATGCCTGTCAATTTGAATGGAGGCGAACTTTGTACAGTGTATCAACCAGCTAGATCTCAATTCTTAGTTCAAAATTCAAAACTTGCTTCAAAGTACCTGGATCTTTAGTCATAGTCGCCAAACTTGTGGAGAAAAAATGGCCTCCGACGTTGAGTTTCAGCATGGTCGAGAAATGAACATTCTCGAGCTTCTTTGCCACCTCGTCAAACGCATTTCTTTCCTTGCGAAGCTTGTTTGTCTCACTCTTCAGAATGTCGAAAGCGTCTTTAATGTGTTTATTTACTTCATCTAAGGCATCAAAGCCGGGTAAATCTTTCTCTGAGTTACGCTTCGACGACATCTTAATCCAAGTGTGTCAAACAAAAGGACAGGTGTCGAAAGCAACTTTTTTTTTTTTTTTCCGAAGCCCGAGATATTTTTTCTATTCTCAGAATCCGATTTCTTGGAAATTTATGGTGTATCAATTTCATCATGTATTAATTCCTTGGAAAACGTTAATTAGCAATAACTGTGTTTCAATATTTACACAATTTTAAGCTGAACACTACTGACTATGCAAGAAACCCAATATTAGAATGAAACAGATAAAATCAAACAAAATGCACAGAGGAGACAATAAAAGATAAGGATATCCAAAGGGTTTTTAAAAAAGGTTGGCGTGCGCGTCAGTGCAACGAATTTTCTAAAAAATGTTTATGTTTTCGCTTTTCAAGGTCACTAAAAGCCATTAAAAGGCTATGAGCAAAGTTCGGACTTTCGCTTGTTGTAGTAAATATCATGGAAATGATTTTCATCAATAAGCTAAGACTCCACGAAGGGAGGCGCTCGCCATCAATAATTTGGCTTTGTCTTTGATTTTCTTTAATTTGTTTCTATGAAATCTTTCAAAATTTTTATAATTTGTAAATATTGTCCTGCTCATCATTTAAAAGCCGAGAAAAAATAGGTTTAAAAGGGCAGTTTCCTCGCTATTTTGAAATTTTATAACTTGGTCGTATTTTTTTTATTAACAGGTACCAGAAAGGGCAAAAATATGGTTAAAGGTCCAGCAAACCTTAGGAAATTCCATCGAAGGAAACGCGATGAATCTCACTTGAAAGACAGCTTTTTCCTTTGTCTTAGAACATTACGTAATGGAATGAAACTTCGCCAAGATTGGTATCTAAGCTTGCGTAGACTTTCGAATCTGTCGCCCTTTGGCAATCTTTCCCACGGTGTTTCCTTTTCGGTTGATCTCTTTTTCAGGCGCAAAAGGCTTATGAATATTACGGATGCAGTTACCGGAAACCCTAGATTCCATCACTTAAAAAAATGTATTGTGTTAAACTGTTTTCAACACACTTTTTCAGATAACAATCGTGCGATCTTATCGAGCCGCCGTTTTGCATGTTCACACTTTTAAAGCTTGTGCTATGTTCCTACCCAGATCTCGCGCGGTCACAAAATCCCACGGAGCCTCCTTAAGGTAGGGCATGACGAGGAAAGCACTAAAATTGACGAAGAATTGTACAAGAGATAGAAACGATGCATTACTCTAAGCATGAAAATTTGTTTTGTAGTTTTCTAATTTTATTGGATTGACAAAAGTAAGTATCCGCTGAAAAAAAAATTGCGTAAATTTTTTAATTAAAAAAACAATGAATCCCACCTCGGAGCCGGCTTCTTGTAGCTTATATTAAGCGCTTGACCGAGCTGATTAGTCATGGGTCAACGTCTATAAGACAAATGAATAGGGATTCAGTCCTAAAGAAACTGTGGTGCTGCGTCGGTGGGAGAGTATAGCATGGTAATTCAGTTAGTATTATCATCTAAGTTGATAACGTAAATTGGCCACCCTAAAGATTTTAAAGATGACGTCTCGAGCATTAGTCCTCCGTTAGAGCGATTAGAGGAATTGTCGGTTGTGTGTGTGTGTGTTTATATGCAAGAAAATAGAACTACGCTATTGGTGCGAATATGGTGTCTCGAAGTCGGAACGGTTAAACTAAACCCTGCTCTGAGTTGATAATGTAAATTATTTTTAATTTCTATAGCCGATGTTTCGAGCGTAAGTCCTTTGTCAGAGCTGAAGGTACCTTTGCCGAGAAAATATCTAAAATAAATCAGTGCTCTAGGCAATAAATTAACCTTTCCAGGTGAGACAAGGCCTCTACAAGAAAGCTGTTGCGTTCAAATAAATATCATTTTTGTCTCATGAACAGGTCATAACTCAGGATAGATGCCTACGAGGACGTTTTGTTCTCTTTATTTTTTGATGAAACTACACAGTTTCAAAATTTATTTGGCTATTTCGGGATAATCTGCCCCCTTAGAAACTTTGTTGTTTTACATCAAGGTAGTAAAAGCGACCTTTAGAAACTTACAAAAGATTTATTCTGCGAAATAAATTTAAGGTTTTCACAATCTTTTTTTTTTATGTCTCCTGCTTGTGATAGCAGATAGCAGCATTTTTATTATGTAAGAGCAAATTTAGGTTTCACCGATTCCTCTCCCTTTGAATAAGTTAAAAATTTATCGCTAGGAAAACAACTTAGCCATGCTCTTTAATTCCCACACTGCGCTGACTTTAGCTCACCGCTGGTTATTAAAGAGCTTTGGGATCAATAGCAGTATCTGGGCAACTGCCCACCTACCCCTCCCCTAACCCAACATTAACCCTAAGTTGTTATCAATTGACTGTTGTTGAGTTAGGGGAGGGATAGGTGGGCAGTTACCCAGATATTGATATTGACCGGGTTTGTTTTACAAACTGAAGGCCTAACATTTGCTGGACCGTTAAACATATTTGAGCCCTTCCTAGTGTCATGGGCGTTAGGTATCTTTTGCGCTTCTATCGAGCTTCATATATATATACATATATATACAACCTGCATTCGATCTATAATGGTAATAGGACTGAGTAGAGTCGAACTGACCGAGTGGATAAACGCGAAGTGGGAGTCCGATTCGTCAATCAAAACAATGACAAAATTTGAGTTTGAAACTTGACATAGGTTATACACTTTCTTTAACCTAAAAAACAACAACAACAACAACAATAGGGCCCAGTTGAATATTAACGAGGCGAAATGATCGGCAACAGCGCGCGCACACGACGTTAATTTGTCCTACTACACTGTCCAAATACAAGCATGGCGCGTACACTGTCCTGTTAGTGCTCAAATCGGGCTGGTGATAATCAATCACGTTCGAGGTTTATAGTTTTGATTATGTTTGTCAATCCACCACAGAAACAGTCGTCGCAAACGTTTCTTTTAATAACTCAGTCTTGCTCAAGTAACAACAACACACTTAACTGACTAATAAACAATTCTTGAAAATCAAAAGCAAGAAACGAATGTTCACAAGCCAGATCAGTTCAACAAAAAGGTTTTGAAAGCCTCTTACTTCTCCAATCTAGTATAAAAAAAAAATTCACTAACAACAACATGACTAAGAGGAAATTAGTCTCTAGCTGATGTTTACAATATCTGTTGTAGTCTCATCAGGAAGAGAAAATTGACAACGATGCCTTTAATTTTCGAACACAAAAACTTCCATTTCATTCACAACGAAGTTTTGACTTCCTGTTAAAAAAAGCTTACCATTCTGACCTGCTGGGCACTGGTATGTATTGCCAAGGTTAACGGAGCAGTTGTAAGAATGTGGAGAATCTGGAACGCAAAGATCATGTCCAGCTCCAAATACTGGACCACGGCTATTGTGGCAATAGATGGCATTTCCTTCCTTACCATCTATCAAAGGCATCTTTGTTGGTGGCAAGCCACTGGCATTGACAAGGCTGAACAGGAAAGAACCTGGTGCTCTTTTGTACGATGCAGTATCTGGTAAAAAATATTTACTGAGTTAGATTGGTTGTATAACAGTTCTCGGTAGCAAATAGGGACAAAACCAGGACAAGAAATTGTCACTGCAATAATTAACGCTTGTGCTTGTAGCTGGAGCTATCATTTTCATGTCAGTGCATCACGACCTCTAAAAAATCACTCTGCCCTTAGCTTACTCTAGATGAGATAGAAGTTCACTTCCTTAAAATAAAGGAGGCTTGGTGTTCAACTTTAGAAAGATGTCTCTCATCGAAGACTATGGTTTGACTATGCAATGGTAACACCTAGCTTAAAATATACAAAACAACAACCCTGTCATAAGATAGAAGTCCCTTTGAAACGAAAATAAAAACAAAAACAAAAACAAGACAAGACAAGACAAGACAAGACAAGACAAGACAAGACAAGACAAAACAAAACAACCAAAAAAACAAAATAAAAATACAGCAACAACAACAGCAAAAACATCAATGCATTATTCATGGTATTAAGGAGTCCTATAAAACCTGATATTTCATTGAACTGTCAGTCAAAAGGATTTATCCCTAAGAAATGTGAGCAAGCTGACTCACCCTACAAGAAAGGAGGGGGTAGGGGGGCGGTTGGCTGAATCTTCCATTAGTTTTTAATGAAGTTGTGAAAGCAGAAAGCTAACTAAGAAGGTTCTTAAGATTAGGTTTGTGCTGTATGCCAGGAAGCTCTCATTTGGGAGTTTTTTGTAGCGCTAGATCGATTGTAAAATAATCACTTTCTGATCAATTTAAGTTTTTTTTTTATATTTTGGCAGAATCATCGTTACATTTTCCCAAAAAGAAAAGAAGAAAACGGATAGAAGGTCCCAAGCAAAAGACTTTCTGCTTCTGTAATTAGCCTGTAAATGGAAAGTAAACAGCAAATTTGAGAGCAAAATATTAGGATGGGGTATTTTATCATGGGGGGGGGGGGGGGTAAAGGAGTTTGATTCAATGGGGCTGACAGAAAGGTCTCTTACTTGGCGTTTGCCATGGGTGCTCAGTATATCCCCCAAATATGTAGTTTCCATACTTGATCACTGTAACTGTTGGTCCTTTGTTATCACAACAGGAGTGGAAGGTAGAGGCGGCCCATCCATTGCGAGAAGCTCGGTATAACAACACGTAATCGTCGCCTAAGCTTTCGCGTGTGTCCTTCAACCAGCCTACCAGGGTTTCACGCTGTTCTGAGGAGAGAATTGCAGAATCTTTAAACGGATTTGCTTTCAACTCATCGAGTATCCCATCGATTTGATAGAATTCTGCCTCGTTCAGCAACTCCTTGCGAACGACTTTATCGTCCGGTAAGACGAGTTTCCCAGTGCGAAGGTAATTTAAGATATGTCGGAAGTGTGTTCCATCTCGGTCGATGAAGTAAGATCCATCCTCGCCTAGTTTTGTGTCAAATCTGCCTGAAAACATGGTATGAAACATGGAACCTGTGAAAACAAGATGAAAAAACCTCCTTTTAATACCTTAATCCTTTTTTTAAAATATAATCAACTTCGTTTACCCAGTTTGGCGGGTGGCATCGTACATCACATGGCAAACTATTGTCAGCCATATCAAAATTGTTTTCATCGTGATGTAGTGAGTTAACTAGAAGTAATGGCGGATTATTTAGGACTGCGTTCCACATGCCTGTACGTTTTTAAACAAGCGTAAAGACGCAGGTAAAAGCTCGGAAATCGGCATGCAAAACGGAAGTACCGTTCCGAACAATGGACTTTAAAATCGAATTCTCTCAACTACTAAAACTGCTGCGGACGCAAGTAGGATTTGAATTTATGGATAAACAGTTGAGTGGAAGCAAACTTTTTACAGTTTATCAACCAGCTAGATCTCAGTCCTTAGTTCAAAATTTAAAACTTGCTTCAAAGTACCTGGATCTTTAGTCATAGTCGCCAAACTTGTGGAGAAAAAATGGCCTCCGACGTTGAGTTTCAGCATGGTCGAGAAATGAACATGCTCGAGCTTCTTTGCCACCTCGTCAAACGCATTTCTTTCCTTGCGAAGCTTGTTTGTCTCACGCTTCAGAATGTCGAAAGCGTCTTTAATGTGTTTATTTACTTCATCTAAGGCTTCAAAGTCGGGTAAATCTTTCTCTGAGTTACGCTTCGACGACATCTTAATCCAAGTGAGTCAAACAAAAGGACAGGTACCGAAATTTTTTTTTTTTTTTTTTCCGAGAAGCCCGAGATATTTTTTCTATTCTCAGAATCCGATTTCTTGGAAATTTATGGGTGTATCAATTTCATCATGTATTAATTACTTGGAAAACGCTAATTAGCAAAAACTGTGTTTATATAGTTACACAATTTTAAGCTGAACACTACTGACTATGCAAAAAACCCACTATAGAATGAAATAGATAAAATCAAACAAAATGCACAGAGGAGACAATAACAGTTAAGGATGCTCCAAAGGGTTTTTAAAAATGTCGGCGTGCGCGTCAGTGCAACGAATTTTCTAAAAAATGTTTATTTTTTCGCTTTTCAAGGTCACTTAAAGCCATTTAGAGGCTCTGAGCAAAGTTCGGACTATCACCTGCTGTGGTAAATATCACCGAAATGATTTTCATCAATAAGCTAAGACTCCACGAAGGGAGGCGCTCGCCATCGATAATTTGGCTTTGTCTTTGATTTTTTTAAATTTGTTTCCATGAAATCTTTCAAAATTTTCATAATTTGTAAATATCGTCCTGCCGATCATTTAAAAGCCGAAAAAAATAGGTTTAAAAAGGCAGTTTCCTCGCTATTTGAAATTTTATAACTTGGTCGTATTTTTTTATTAACAGGCACTAGAAAGGGCACAAATATGGTTGATGGTCCATCAAACCTTAGGAAATTCCACCTAAGGAAACGCGATAAATCTCACTTGAAAGATCTCTATTTTCTTTGTCTTAAAACGTTACGTAATGGAATGAACTTTCGCCAAGATCGGTATCTAAGCTTGCGTAGACTTTCGAATCTGTCGCCTTTTGGCAGTCTTTCCCACAGTGTTTCCTTTTCGGTTGATCTCTTTTTCAGGCGCACAAGGCCTATGAATATTACGGGTGCAGTTACTGGAAACCCTAGATTCCATCGCATAAAAAAAATGCATTGTGTTAAACTGTTTTTAACACACTTTTTCAGATAACAATCGTGCGATCTTATCGAGCCGCCATGTTTGTTTTGCATGTTGACACTTTTAAAGCTTGTGCTATGTTCCCACCCAGATCTCGCGCGGTCAAAAAATCTTACGGAGCCTCCTTAAGGTAGGGCATGACGAGGAAAGCACTAAAATTTATGAAGAATTGTACAAGAGATAGAAACGATGCATTACTCTAAGCTTGAAAATTTGTTTTGTAGTTTTCTAATTTGATTGGATCGACAAAAGTAAGTATCCGCTGAAAAAAAAAACTGCGTAAATTTTTTAATTAAAAACAATAATGAATCCCTCCTCAGAGCCGGCTTCTTGTAGCTTATATTAAACGCTTGACCGATCTGATTAGTCATGGGTCAACGTCTAAAACACAAATGAATAGAGGGGTTCAGTCCTGAAGAAACTGTGGTGCTGCATCGGTGGAAGAGTATAGCAGGGTAATTCAGTTAGTATTATCAACTGAGTTGATAGCGTAAATTGGCCACCCTAAAGATTTTAAAGCTGACGTCTCGAGCGTTAGCCCTCAGTTAGAGCGATTGGAGGAACTGTGAGTTGTCTGTGTGTGTTTATATGCAGGAAATAGAGCTACGCTATTAATGGTGTCTTCAAGACAGAACGGTTAAACCAAAACCAGCTCTGAGTTGATAATGCAAATTGTGATGAATTTCAATAGCCGATGTTTCGAACGTTAGCCCTTTGTCAGAACTGAAGGTACCTTTGCCGAGAAGATATCTTAAAAAAACAGTGCTCTAGGCAATAAATCAACGTTTCCAGGAGAGATAAGGCCTCTACAAGAAAGCTGTTAAGTTCAAATAAATATCATTTTTGTCTGATGAACAGGTCATAACTCTGGATAGATGCCTACGAGGACGTTTTCTTCTCTTTATATTTTGATGAAGCTACACAGTTTCAAAATCTATTTGGCTATTTCGGGATAATCTGCTCCTTTACAAACTTTGATGTTTTCACATCAAGGTAGTAAAAGCGACCTTTAGAAACTTACAAAAAATATATTCTGCGAAATAAATTTCAGGTTTTCACGATCTTCTTTTTTATGTCTCCTACTTGTGATAGCAGATAGCAGCATTTTCATTATGTAAGACCAAATTTAGGTTGGACTGATTCCTCTCCCTTTGAATAAGTTGAAAATTTATCACTAGGAAACATCCTAACCATGCTCATAAATTCCCACACTGCCCTGACTTTAGCTCTTCGCTGTTTATTAAAGAGCTTTGGGATCAATATCAGTATCTGGGCAACTGCCCACCTACCCCTCGCCTAACCCAACATTAACCCTAACTTGTTATCAATTGACTGTTGTTGAGTTAAGGGAAGGGTAGGTGGGCGGTTGCCCAGATACTGATATTGATCCAGGTTTTGTTTTACAGATTGAACGCCTAACACTTGCTGGACCGTTAAACATATTTGTGCCCTTCCTAGTGTCATGGATGTTAGGCATCTTTTGCGCTTTTATAGAGCTTTATATGTATATACAACCCGCATTCGGCTTATAATGGTAATAGGACTGAGCGGGGTCCAACTGACTGAGTGGATGAACGCGAAGAGGAAGCCAATCAAAACTATGACAAAATTTAAGTTTGAAACTTGTCATAGGTTATGCACTTTCATTAACCAAAACAAAAACAACAACAATAGGGCCCAGTTGAATTTTAACGAGGCGAAAGGCGCGCAACAGCGCGCGCACATGAGGTTAATTTGTCCTGTTACACTGTCCAATTACAAGCATGGCGCGTTCACTGTCTTATTAGTGCTCAAATCAGGCTGGCGGTAACCATTCATTTTCGATAATTTTGTTATAGTTTTTGATTATGTTTGTCAATCCAGCACAGAAACAGTCCTCGCAAACGTTTGTTTTAATAACTCGATCTTGTTCAAGTAACAACAACACACTTAAATGACTAGCAAACAATTCTTCAAAAAATCAAAAGCAAGAAACGATCCCTCACATGTCAGATCAGTTCAACAAAAAGGTTATAAAAGCCTCTTACTTCTCCAATCAGGTAACAATAACAAATTTTACTAAAAACAACATGACTAAGAGGAAATTAGTCTCTAGCTGACGTTTACAATATCTGTTGTAGTCTCATCAGGAAGAGAAAATTGACAACGATGCCTTTAATTTTCGAACACAAAAACTTCCATTTCATTCACAACGAAGTTTTGACTTCCTGTTAAGAAAAGGTTACCATTCTGACCTGCTGGGCACTGGTATGTATTGCCAAGGTTAACGGAGCAGTTGTAAGAATTTGGACAATTTGGAACGCAAAGATCATTTCCACCTCCAAATACTGGACCACAGCTATTGTGGCAGTAGATGGCACTTCCTTCCTTACCATCTATCAAAGGCATCTTTGTTGGTGGCAAGCCACTGGCATTGACAAGGCTGAACAGGAAAGAACCTGGTGCTCTTTTGTACGATGCAGTATCTGGTAAAAAATATTTACTGAGTTAGATTGGTTGTATAATAATTCTCGATAGCAAATAGGGACAAAACCAGGACAAGAAATTGTCACAGCAATAATTAACGCTTGTGCTTGTAGCTGGAGCTATCATTTTCATGTCAGTGCATCACGACCTCTAGAAAATCACTCTGCCCTTGGCTTACTCTAGATGAGACAGAAGTTCACTTCCTTAAAATAAAGGAGGCTTGGTGTTCAACTTTAGAAAGATGTTTCTCATCGAAGACTATGGTTTGACTATCCAATGGTAACACCTAGCTTAAAATATACAAAAAAAAAACAACCCTGTCATAAGATAGAAGTCCCTCTGAAACGAAAATAAAAACAAAAACAAAAACAAAAACAAAACAAGACAAGACAAAACAGCCAAAAAAACAAAATAAAAATACAGCAACAACAACAGCAAAAACATCAATGCATTATTCATGGTATTAGGGAGTCCTAGAAAACCTGATATTTCATTGAACTGTCAGTCAAAAGGGTTTATCCCTAAGAAATGTGAGCAAGCTGACTCACCGTACAGGAAAGGAGGGGGCAGGGGGGCGGTTGGCTGAATCTTCCATTAGTTTTTAATGAAGTTGTGAAAGCAGAAAGATAGCTAAGAAGGTTTTTAAGATTAGGTTTGTGTTGTATGCCAGGAAGCTCTCATTTGGGAGTTTTTTGTAGAGCTGGATCGACTGTAAAAGAATCATTTTCTGATCGATTTAAGTTTTTTTTTTATATTTTGGCAGAATCATCACTACATTTTCCCAAAAAGAAAAGAAGAAAAAGGATAGAAGTTCCCAAGCAAAAGACTTCTTGCTTCTGTAATTAACCTGTAAATGGAAAGTAAACAGCAAATTTGAAGCCAAAAGCCAAAATATTAGCATAAGGGGGGGGGAGTAAAGGAGTTTGATTCAATGGGGCTGACAGAAAGGTCTCTTACTTGGCGATTGCCATGGCTACTCAGTATATCCACCAAATATGTAGTTTCCATACTTGATCACTGTAACTGTTGGTCCTTTGTTATCACAGCAGGAGTGGAAGTTAGAGGCGGCCCATCCATTGCGAGAAGCTCGGTATAACAACACGTAATCGTCGCCTAAGCTTTCGCGTGTGTCCTTCAACCAATCTACCAGGGTTTCACGCTGTTCTGAGGAGAGAATTGCAGAATCTTTAAACGGATTTGCTTTCAACTCATCGAGTATCCCATCGATTTGATAGAATTCTGCCTCGTTCAACAACTCCTTGCGAACGACTTTATCGTCCGGTAAGACGAGTTTCCCAGTGCGAAGGTAATTTAAGATATGTCGGAAGTGTGTTCCATCTCGATCGATGAAGTAAGATCCATCCTCGCCAGGTTTTGTGTCAAATCTGCCTGAAAACATGGCATGTAACATGGACCCTGTGAAAACAAGATGAACAAAACCTTTCTAATATACCTTAATCCTTTTTTTTTTTTCAAAAATAATCAACTACATATACCCAATTTGGCGTGTAGCATCGAACATCACGAAGCAAGCTGCATTCAACCGTATCAAAAATGTTTTTACTGTGGTGTATTCAGTTGACTAGAAGTAATGGCGGATTATTTAAGACTGCGTTCCACATACCTGCTCGTTTTTAAACAAGCATAGAGACGCAGGTGGAATTTCAGAAGTCAGCCTGTAAAACGTTAGTATCGTTTTGAACAATGGACTTTAAAATCGAATTCTCTCGATTACTTAAACAGCTGCGGATGCAAACAGGATTTGAATTTATGGATAAACAATTGAAGGAAAGCGAACTTTGTACCGTATATCAAACAGCTAGATCTGACTCCTTAGTTCAAAATCAAAACTTGCTTCAGTAAAGTACCTGGATCTTTAGTCATAGTCGCCAAACTTGTGGAGAAAAAATGGCCACCGACATTAAGTTTCAGCATGGTCGAGAAATGAACATGTTCGAGCTTCCTTGCCACCTCGTCAAACGCATTCCTTTCTTTGCGAAGCTTGTTCGTCTCACGCTTCAGAATGTCGAAAGCTTCTTTGATGTGTTTATTCACTTCGTCTAAGGCTTCACCGTCGGGTAAATCTTTCTTTGAGTTACGCTTTGTCGACATCTTAATTCAAGTGGGTTATACAAAAGGACAGGTGACGAAATCAATGTTTTTCCTGAGAAGCCCGAGATATATCGTCTTTTCTTAGAATTTGCGTGTTGCTTTGATTCTCGGTAAGTTGATTTCTCGGAAATTTATGGGTGTATCAATTTCATTATGCATAAATGACTTCGAGTCACGCAATGCATGAAAATTAATTGGATATTGGAAAACGTTGATTATCAATAACTGTGATTCTGCCAAAAGGTCTGGATAGCAGCAAATATGTCACGAATTTAAGAAAATATACGACCTCTTTTAAAAACATGTTTCGAAAGTTCTTCTGTCATCTTCAGTTCTGATTTATACAAAGTACAAAGTTGAATTTAAAGTGTATGACAAAATGCTCCTTGGACAAAACAGACAATAGAACGAAACAATGCATGTAATTACAAGGGAAGTCTTAAATCAACATGATAAAGTCGATGATTAATTACGCTGACCCGTAATAAATGCAATTTCCCGGTTTCTGTTTCAGACACTGCGCCGACTTTTTATTTCAAATTACCTTACTTAACCCTTTTTCTGTTGTCACGCAAAAAGGGGTTCGCCTCTTTGAGTAACTTCTATTCATTTTACATGTAAAATGTTCATATTTCGAAATATTTATCGTTGTAAATCGATTGTATTTCGTTCCCCAAACTATTCCTTAAAACGAGTCCAATTATCAACGGTTTCTATGGTAACTTAAGCTCGAGTCACACAAAGCGTGACGCCTTCATGAATTAATCGTTTGCTTTTTCTCGGGACGTGAGCTTGGGCAGCCTGTGCTTAAATTCAAAGAAGCTATGTTTGGTAATTTGGGGCTAATGTAAGGTAATTTGGACGGTCAATATAAGCTACAGGATGCCGGCTCTGAGGAGGGATTCATTCATTTGTTAAAAATTGCCGGTTTTTTCAAGACTTAGTCCGACGTCTACAAGACAAATGAATAAAGAGGGTAAGTTTCTAAAGAAACTGTGGTGCTGCGTCGGTGGGAGAGTATAACAGGGTAATTTAGTATTATCAACTGAGTTGAAAACGTAAATTGGCCACCATAAATATTTTAAAAGCTGACTTCTCGGGCGTTAGCCCTTCGTCAGAGCGATTGGAGGAATTGTGGATTGTAAGTGTGTTTATATGCAAAGAATGAATTACGCTGTTAGTGCGAATATGGTGTCTTCGAGACAGAACGGTTAAACCGAATTCTGCCATAGGTAATGGAGCTAAATTTCTGAAGAAACTGTACCGTGGCGTTGGTGGGATAACATTGCTGAGAAAATTTCTAAAATAAATCAGTGCTCTAACTAATATATTAACATTTCCAGGTGAAACAAGGCTTCTACAATAAATCTGTTGCGTTCAAATGTGTACCATTTTTTGCTTGGTAAATAGGTCACAATTCAGGTTAGACGCCTACGAAGGCATTTTCTTATGTCTAGGTTTTCATCAAGCTACACATTTTGAATTTTTTTTTGGACTGTTTCGGGATAGTGCACCGATTTAGCCACTTTGTTCTTTTACTTTAACTTAGTGACCGCGACTTTCCAAGAAACTGAAGCTTACACAATTCCTAAAGCAAAATAAATTTAAGATTCTCGCGGTTTTTTTCTGCCTCCTACTTGTGATAGCACAACCCAGCCTTTTTTATTGCGTGAGACCTAAACCAAATTTAGGTTCGACCGATTCCTCTCTCCTTGTTTAAGTTGAAATTTATGACTTCAGCCCGGACCCCTCGCTTTTTCTCTTCTCCGCTACTATCGCACCGTTTACTAGACACCTGTAACAGGCCATGGGTGTTAGGTGCCTTAACCTCTTGCAATTTTATCATGATTTATATATGAGCAACCTGCATTCGATTTATAATGGTAATAGGACTGAGTGGAGTCCAACTGACTGCGCGAACGAACGCGAAGTTGGAGTCCGATTTGACAATCAAAACTATGAAAAAATTTGAGAAAGAAACTCGACATCGGTTATACGCTTTCATTTAATAAAAATAACGCAATCTAACAGATAAATTGCTATCCTGCGGATACGAAATTACAGAATGTGTGGCGTTATCCACCGGATAAAGATTTATCCCGTGGATAGAGCTATCCAACCTTTGTACAACCGGGGCCAGAATTTTAACTGGGAAAAATGTGCGACATTCACTCCAACTACAAGCAGGTGCTCAAATCGAACTGGTGATAACCAATTTTGTTCGAAAGTTTTGTTATAGTTTTGATTATGTTTGTTAATACACCACCTTCCAGTTAATATCTTCACGGATCTGCAGTCATCCCAGTTTTTGCAAACGTTTAATAATTCAATCTTGTTCAAAGTAATAACAACGCACTTAATTGTCTGATAAACAATTCTTGAAATATAAATAGAAACAAGAGTCGATCGTTCACAAGCCAAATAAGTACAACAAAAGGTTAGAGCTTTGAAAGCCTCTTACTTCTTCAATCTGGTAACAATAACAAAATTTATTAACAACAACACGACTAAGAGGAAACTAGTCACTGGCAAACGTTTACCGAATCAGTTTTAGTCTCATCAGGAAGGAAAAAATGGCAACAACGCCTTTAATTTTCGAGCGCAAACACCTCCATTTCATTCACAGTGAAGTTTGGATTTCCTGCTAAAAAAAAGTTACCATTCTGACCTGCTGGGCACTGGTATGTATTTCCAAGGTTAACGGCGCAGCCGTGGGAATTTGGACAATTTGAAACGCAAAGATCATTTCCAGCTCCAAATCCTGGACCATAGCTACTGTAGCAGTAGATGGCATTTCCTTCCTTACCATCTATCAAAGGCATCTTTGTTGGTGGCAAGCCACTGGCATTGACAAGGCTGAACAGGAATGAACCTGGTGCTCTTTTGTACGATTCAGTATCTGATAAAAGATATTTACTGAGTTACATTGATTGTACAAGAAATTGTCACAGCAATAATTAACGCCTGTACTTGTAGCTTGAGCTATCATTTTCATTTCAGCGCATCACGACCTCTAACAAATAACGCTGCCTTTAGCTTACTCTGAGATGAGACAGAAGTTCACTTCCTTAAAATAAAGGAGACTTAGTGTTCAGCTCTAGAAATATTTTTCTTATCGAAGACTGGTTTGACTATGCAATGGTAACAGCTAATTTAAAATGTACAACAAAAAAAAAACGAAAAAAAACAACCCTGTATTGAGATCGAAGTCCCTCTCAAACGAAAAAAAAAACACAGACACACTAAAAAAAAAACAAAACAAAACAAAATTAACAAAGAAGAAAACAAAAAAAACAAAACAAAACAAACATAAATTAACAAATAGAGAAGCCTTGACTGTGCTCTGTTCTGTTATTTCTTCCCACTTCTTGAGTGCTGAACATAGCACAGTCAAGGCTTTTCTATTTGTTTTATATAAAGAATCCGTTATTTTCAAAACAAACTTTATTTCCAAAGCGAAGAACAGTGTCGTCAGCATGCTCTATACTCTCATAGAGCACGCTACAATAAGCCAATCAGAATCCCTGTTAGAATAGTTCAAATAATCTGATTGGCTGTACAAGACAAAAGCTGTCAAAAGTGTCAAACCATCAAAGTTCAAAAACCATCAAAGTTCACACTCTGCGATAGTTTACAAACTAAAATAATTCGACAGGTCGAATTTAACGCTTTTGACTGAAGTTTTTAATTCAGAATCTTGAAGTGAAATATTCAGTGAACTTCAATCGAATTATGGCTCATAAAAACACGCGGGTTTTTTCACATGACAAGGTAGAAAACAAACTGTTCAAGGCGAGTGTTTTTTAAATGAACGACAGCCGAATTCACCGGAACATGAAGATCGCTCGGGATGACAGCGCCGCAAAACTCGGCTGCAGTGACTGAAGTGACTTTCCACTCAACACATTGGAAAGGATATAAGAGCGAGCTCTTATTTTTTCACTCGAAGGGCGGCATGATAAGTGAACCGCGATGGACTTCAGCATGATCATATTTGCTCAGACACCGTCATGATTAGTATGAATTTTAACAATTATGCCAGTTTGGTTATATTTTTCATCATTTCTGTTTTGTTCTGTTTTGTTTTTGAACTCTGAACTTTATATACTATACGAGTGTTGGCTGTGTTTGATTTTCATTACCGTACGTAAGCTTGCAATCTAACTAAGCGTGAAAATCTTTAAAACTCGGAATGTCTATTTTGTTTTTCCTTTGAGGATTTTCGTATCTGCCCACGTTTTAATAGCGTAAATAACGACGCCTGGTTTGTTTACAAACCTTTCTTTGGTTCTTCTGTTACTACTTGCCGGCTCGCTTGTTCCGAAATTTCACTTTAAATTATCGGGAAAAAGCTAAAAAGAAGTCCCGGAAAAGGTCGAACATAGTACAATTGGCAGATGGCGTGACAGCTTTAGCTCAGCTCTATGCTCTATACTCTCATAGAGCACGCTTTTTCGACCAATGACAGCGCGCGTTATATCCGAACTTTATTATAAAACAAAATAAAAATGCAGCGACAACAACATCAAAGACATCAATGCATTATTCATGGTATTAGGGAGTCCTACAAAACCTGATGTTTTCATTGAACGGTCGGTCAAAAGGGTTTATCTCTCAGAGATGTAAGCAAGCTGACTCACCGTACAAGAAAGGAGGGGGGAGAGGGGCGGTTGACTGAATCTTCCATTAGTTTTTGTTGAAGTTTTGAAAGCAGAAAGCTTACTAAAAGGTTCTTAAGATGAGGTTTGGGCTGTATGCTAGGAAGTTCTCATTTGGATGTTTTTTATAGAACTAGATCGATTGTAAAGGTATCACTTTCTGATCGATTTAAGTTTTTTGGTGTTTTGGCAGAATCATCGTTATATTTCCCCAAAAAGAAAAGAAGAAAAAGATAGAAGTTCCCAAGCATAAGACTTCTTACTTCTGTAATTTACATGTAAATGGAAAGCAAACAGCAAATTTGAGAGCAAAGATGGGATATTTTATCATAAAGGGGGGGGGGAGGGGGAGTAATGCAGTTTGATTCAATAGGGCCGACAGAAAGACCTCTTACTTGGAGATTGCCATTACTGCCCAGTATATCCTCCAAATATGTAATTTCCGCTCTTTATCACTGTAACTGTTGGTCCTTTGTTATCACAACACGAGTGGAAGTCAGAGGCGGCCCATCCATTGCGAGAAGCTCGGTATAACAACACGTAATCGTCGCCTAAGCTTTCGCGAGTGTCTTTCAACCAGTCCACCAGGGTTTCGCGCTGTTCTGAAGAGAGAATTGCAGAATCTTTAAGCGGATATGCTTTCAACTCTTTGAGTATCCCATCGATTTGGTAGAATTCCGCCTCGCTTAACAGCTCCTTCCGAACGACTTTATCGTCCGGTAAGACGAGTTTCCCAGTGCGAAGATAATTTAAGATATGTCGGAAGTGTGTTCCGTCTCGATCGATGAAGTAAGATCCATCCTCGCCAGGTTTTGTGTCAAATCTGCCTGAAAACATGGCATGTAACATGGACCCTGTGAAAACAAGATGAACAAAACCTTTCTAATATACCTTAATCCTTTTTTTTTCAAAAATAATCAACTACATATACCCAATTTGGCGTGCGGCATCGAACATCACGAAGCAAGCTGCATTCAACCGTATCAAAAATGTTTTTACTGTGGTGTATTCAGTTGACTAGAAGTAATGGCGGATTATTTAAGACTGCGTTCCACATATCTGCTCGTTTTTAAACAAGCATAGAGACGCAGGTGGAATTTCAGAAGTCAGCCTGTAAAACATTAGTATCGTTTTGAACAATGGACTTTAAAATCGAATTCTCTCGACTACTTAAACAGCTGCGGATGCAAACAGGATTTGAATTTATGGATAAACAATTGAAGGAAAGCGAACTTTGTACAGTACATCAAACAGCTAGATCTGACTCCTTAGTTCAAAATCAAAACTTGCTTCAATAAAGTACCTGGATCTTTAGTCATAGTCGCCAAACTTGTGGAGAAAAAATGGCCACCGACATTAAGTTTCAGCATGGTCGAGAAATGAACATGTTCGAGCTTCCTTGCCACCTCGTCAAACGCATTTCTTTCCTTGCGAAGCTTGTTCGTCTCACGCTTCAGAATGTCGAAAGCTTCTTTGATGTGTTTATTTACTTCATCTAAGGCTTCATCGCCGGCTAAATCTTCCTTTGAGTTACGCTTCGTCGACATCTTAATTCAAGTGGGTTATACAAAAGGACGGGTGACGAAATCAGTTTTTTTTTGCTGAGAAACCCGAGATATATCGTCTATTCTCAGAACTTGCGTGCTGCTTTGATTCTCGGTAAGTTGATTTCTCGGAAATGTATGGGTGTATCAATTTCATCATGCATAAATTACTTCGAGTCACGCCATGCATGAAAATTAATTGGATATTGGAAAAGTTGATTATCAATAACTGTGATTCAGCCGAAAGGTCTGGATAGCAGCAAATATGTCACGAATTTAAGAAAATATACGACCTCTTGTAAAAACATGTTTCGAAAGTTCTTCTGTCATTTTCAGTTCTGATTTATACAAAGTGCAAAGTTAAATTTAAAGTGTATGGTCTACTGTTGTAAGGGAAATCATAAGCAATCTTCAGGCAGCTGGAAAAATGTTTCTGTGGCATGTTCCACTGGTATAGCATGCACAGTGTACGATCCTAATGTTGCTTGTACCGAGTATTCCTATTTTGAATTCGCTTCGCGGTCAATTTTACCGCATCTCTTCCCTATCGAAACTTTTTCAGCGAAAATAATTCAAGCTTAAGTGCTCACAGCAAATCCCACAGAATATGCAAAATTTGTCTGTTGTTTATCTGTTTTAATTTCACCTCGCTTTCTGATTAAAAATTAATCTACTGTATCACTCGTGGTAAAGAGAAAATTACTATTCTATTAAAAACTATTCCTTAAAATCTGTCAAATTATCAACGGTTCCTGTCGTGACTTAAGACCGAGTCACGCAAAGCGTGACGCCTTCATGAATTAATCGTTTGCTTTTTCTCGAGACGTGAGCTTGGGCCACCTGCGCTTAAATTCAAAAAAACTATTCACATTCACTTAATCATCAACGTTATAATATTAATTTAAAACTTTCATTGTAATTGCATACATTGTTTCGTTCTATTGTCTGTTTTGTCCAATGAGCATTTGCCATACACTTTATTTAAATTCATCTTTGTACTTTGTATAAATCAGAACAGAAGATGACAGTAGAACTGTCGAAAGATATTTTTAAAAGATGTCGAATATTTTCTTTAACTGTGATTCTATATTTACACTGTTTCGCTAAACACCTTACACTATGCAAGAAACCCACTATTAGAATGAAATGGATAAATTCCAAAGAAATGCACAGAGGATAAAATAACAGTTGAGATAAGGCCTGACGAGTAAATAAATAAAAATAATAATGTAGAGTTGTACAAAAGATAGAAAGGATGTAGTACTTTAAGTATGACATTTTTGTGGTTTAGATAGTTCTCTGATTTTCCTGGATCGACGAAAGAACGTATCCTCAGAAAAAAATTTCGTCAAATGATAAGCCACAAAACCTTATCACTTCCGGTCCAGAAATGAGAAAATGTCAACATCGTACCCAGGGCTTTGTCGGTCTATTTTTTAATTGTATTTTTTATTTTTTATTTTATTTATTTATTTAGTTTTTTAAAATGGCGGCCGGTCGGTTGGAAATAACAGTGTTTCTGAAGAGTGGCTCCAAAAAGGTTACTCAAGGTTATTGAGGAAGACTCTGATTGATCCTCATAATGAAATTGATGAAGAAGGCCCAAAATCATATTAAAAGGTTTCCACTGATCATTGGATACCAATTTATGATAGAAGTGGCGATTTTAGGAACCGGGCTGGTTCTTGATTTAATGGTTACCAGGTGACTGCGGATTACAAATACACCACGTTATCTCACTACAGAACCAAGACGACAGGAACAACGCTTAATTTTAAAGGGGAACAGAAACTTAGAAGGAGATGACGGTTCTTTTTTTACGCATAGGTACAAAACATGACCTTCCTTTAAGCTCTAAAGAGTATTGATCTCAGAAAATTTAAAAAAACTTGGCACCCCCATAAATTTACATGAGAACTGAAGCTAGTTTAAAAACCTTACTCACCCTCCCCCGCTTCCCCTCACAGCACCTTAATAAAACAAACTGCCCCTGCCTGCCCCCACTGCCTGCCTGTCCAATACAAATTAAGGCTTCCTTTTCTTTACGAACTTTGCTTATCTCGCGCCTCAAAATATTCAATGTATCAGTAATATGCTAGTTTGGCAAATCTTTCATTGAACTGCGAGAGAAAGACAACTTAAACTCTCTCGCACCGTTTTGTGAGTCACTTTTCGAAATGGGGGTGGGAAACATTTCAACTTTCTCCAATAAGCCGTCGACGAGTACAAAATGCAAGAATTAACAAAAGCTTCTATGTCTTCATATTTCGCGGAAATTGCACGAGGTTTTGATTAATTCTCGGTGTTTCGATTTCTCAGAAACAACTGGATGTTTAGCCTACGTGTAGCCGTACCCTTCCTTCTCCCCTCTGGTGACTCACCATTGAATGGAAGCGAGGGAAAGTCTACGCAAACCCGACACTAATCATGTCATGTGACGTCACTTTGATCTATGCAGAATTATATACCTTGATGATATTTTTTGCGGCGTGGCACGTGTTAAAGTGAAAGTTTATCGAGATAAACAACAACATTGAAGTGAATTCATTTTTCATTTTTCGGGTTAATTTGCAATTTAGCGTCCGACTTCAAATAAATACTATAATTTGCTCCAAGAATATAGGAAAAGAATACGAGCGATTTTTGGTAGAGAGTAAGAATAGGACGATGTTCGATTAGCATTGGGCTTACGAAACTAGATTTCATAGCATCGCAGCACTGTTCGCAAACAGACCAGAAGTTGAAGGTGGACGATCCTCTGGCCCAAGTTCATTAAGATGGTGCACCTGGTCTTCTATCAGAGCTTTAACGGGCAGCACAAATAATATAGTCACCGGTTTCTTTTAGAGAAGAAAGCCGATGAATTACCGGCGCTGCTTGATATATTAAAGATTTTCCATAGCCATTTGGTAACAAAAGAGAGACATTGTTACCTTCGGAAAAGATATCTATGGCTTTCCACTGTTCTTCTTGAAATGTTTCTATCCAAGAGTCGCACAAACTACCTTAAAACCTCGTCGTAGATCGCTTTTGTCTAAAAAGTTGACCATACAAGCTTTTGTGCACCATCCTGTTTGTAAGTGAGAAAAAATAAATTACCAACCTTAGCCAATCAGAATTCACGAAAGAACCGGCAAAAGGGGTTAACCAATAAAAAGCGGCTATATATTTTCTTGCAAAAGAATGACGTCACAGAACACGGCTAGTGCCAGTTTTGCGCGGATGTTCCCTTGCTTCCATTTCACCTGGGGGGGGGAGGGTACGGTTAGACGTGGGCTACTGGATGTTTAGTCATGCTGTGAAATGAGAATTTATAAGTGTTTTATCGTCCCCTTCATTTCGCATGCTACTTTATTATACAAGCCTTTGAAACAGTAAAAAGACACGAAAGATTGGTTTGAAGCATCCCTGAGCGTACAGAGGTATCGATAACATTTACGAAAATTAGTTATTGTGTGAACTTTTTAAAAAAAAAAATTAATGAATCCCTCTTCAGAGCCAGCTTCCTGGGGCTTATATTACGCGCTTGACCGCCTTTGCCGGTTTTTTTCAAGACCTAGTTCGACGAGAATAGTCATGGGTTAACGTCCACAAGACAAATGAATAGAGGGGGAAAATTTCTAAAGAAATTGCTGCGTCGGTAGGAGAGTATAACAGGGTAATTTAGTATTATCAACTGAGTTGATAAGGTAAATTGACCACCGTGGAGAGTTTAAAAGCTAACGTTTCGATCGTCAGCCCTTCGTCAGAGTGATTGGAGGAATTGTGGGTTGGGTGTTTGCTTATATGCAGAAAATAAGCTACGCTAGTGGTGGGAATATGGTGTCTTCGAGAAGGAACGGTTAAACCAAATTCTGCCTTAGGTAATGGGGTTAAATTTCTAAAGAAACTGTACCGCTGCGTTGGTGAGGGTATCTTTGCCGAGAAAATTTCTAAAATAAATCAGTGTTCTAAGCAATAAATTAACATTTCCGTGCAGGAGAGACAAGTCTACTACAAGGAAGCTGTTGCGTTCAAATGAATATAATTTGTCTGATGAGCAGGTCATAACTCAGGATAGATGCCTACGAGGAAAATTTCTTCTTTTTATGTTATGATGAAGCTACACAGTTTAAACTTTTTTTTTCTATTTCGGGATAATGCGCCCTTTTAGCACTTTTTTGTTTTACATCAAGGTAGTAAAAGCGACTTTCTAGGAAACCAGAAACTTACAACATTTTCTTCGGCAAAAAAAGTTTAAGGTTCTCGCAATTTTTTTGTCTGCTACTTGTGATAGCTGATAGCAGCCTTTTTATTGTGTCATTTAGGTTTGACCGATACCTCTTCCTTTGTTTAAGTTGAAAATTTCTCACAAGTAAACAACTAAGCCATGCTCATAAATTCCCACTCTGCGCTGACTCTGGCCCATTACCTCCCACACCCTCCTCTTCCTCAATGAAAAGAAACATCACTTACGCACCTATTCCATTAGCCTGTTCCAGGCATCCTATTGGTAAAATGGAGCTGAGATGGGAGGGAGGTCTGGGTCGTGTCGTTCGTTCTTTACCCGACCCGTTCCAGATCTCCCTCTTTTTTCCACTCCTCCGCTACTATTCCGCCGTTTACCAAAGCACTTTGTTTTATTGACTGAACGCCTGTGTTAAGAACCTCTTGCGCTTTTATCGTGCTTTTTATATGAACAACCTGTATTTGATTTATAATGGTAATAGGACTGAGTGGAGTTCAATTGGGTCTGTAATCATACGAGTTATTGACAAAATCGTGGTAGTCCGATTTGTTCGTATATGACGAGTATGTTGTTTATGTATGTAGTTTAACTCGGCGAAATATGCGACAGCAGCGCGCGCACATGACGCGTACTGTCCACTAGCACAGGCATGACGTCAAATTATCCCAGTACACTGTCCAATTACAAGCATGATGCGTACACTATCCTGTTAGTGCTCAAATTGGACTGGTGATACCCAATCATGTTCAAAAATGTTGTTATAGTTTTGATTATGCTTGTTAATTCACCACCCGGTTAATATCTTCACGGATCTCCAGTCAGAGAGAGTCTTCGCAAATGTAAGTTTTAATAACTTAGTCTTGCTCAAGTAACAACAACTCACTTAAATGACTCATAAACAATTCTTGAAAATCAAAAGCATGAAACATATATATATACACAACCCGCTTTCGATTTATAATGGTAGTAGGACTGAGTGAGTCCAACTGACTGAGTGGACGAACGCGAAGTGGGAGTCCGATTTGTCAGTCAAAACTATGACAAAATTTGAGAAAGAAAATAGACATCGGTGACACGCTTTCATTGACAAAAAAAAAAACCGGGCCCAGTTGTATAAAGGGCAGATAACGCTATCCAACCGACAAATCGCTATCCAGCGGATAAGTGATTGCGAAACGTTCGGTGTTCTCCACTGGATAGAGATTTATCCAGCGTTATCCTACCCTTTGAAAAACTGAGGCCAGAATTTTAGAGGCACGACATTAAATTTAATTCCTATTACGCCGTTCAATTACAAGCAGGTGGTCAAATAAGGCTGGTGATAACCGATTATGTTCAAAACATTTTGTTATAGTTTTGATTACGTTTGTTAATCCACTACTTTCCGGGTTAATATCTTCACGGATCTCCAGTCAGCAACAGTTTCCACAAAAGTTTGTTTTAATAACTCAATCTTGTTAAAGTAACAACAACACAGTTAAATGGTTAATAAACAATTCTTGAAAACTAAAAACGAGAAACGATCGTTCACAAACCAGATCAGTTCAACAAAAAAGTTTTAAAAGCCTCATATCTCCATTCATGTATCGGAAACAGAACTCTCCAACGACAACATGACTGAGAGGAAACTAGTCACAGGCAAACGTTTACAGAATCAGTTGCAATCTCATCAGGAAGGGAAAAAATGACAACAATGCCTTTAATTTTCGAATACAAATACTTCCATTTCGTTCACATAAAAGTTTTGATTTCCGGTTAAAAACGTAGTACCATTCTGACCAACTGGACACTGGTACTTGTTGTTGAGGTTTACAGTGCACAGGTTAGAATTTGGAGAATTTGTAATGCTAAGATCGTTACCTCCAAATATTGGACCATTGTTACTGTAGCAAGAGATAGCTTTTTCTTCCTTTCCAACTACCAAAGGCAACTTTGTTGGTGGCAAGCCACTAGCATTGACAAGGCTGAACAGGAAAGAACCTGGTGCTCTTTTGTACAGTACAGTACCTGATAAAAAAATATTTACTAAGTTAGATTGGTTGTACGACAATTATCGATAGCAAATAGGGACAAAACCAGGACAAGAAATTGTCACAGCAATAGTTAATGCCTGTACTTGTGGCCAGAACTGTCATTTTCATGTCAGTGCATCACGACCTCTAAAAAATCACTCTGACCTTAGCTTACTATGGTATGAGACAGAAGTTCACTTCCTTGAAATAAAGAAGGCTTAGTGGTTAACTTTTTAAAGATTCATTTTAACACCTAGATAAAAATATACCAAAAACATCCTGTGATAAGACAAAAGTCCCTCTCAAACGAAAAACAAACAACAAAAAAACAAAACAGGAAAACAAAAAAAAAAAACAAAACAAAACAAAAACAAAACAAGCAAACAAAAATAAGATAACAACAACAACAAAAACAGCAATGCATTATTCATGATATAAGGGGGTCCTTTAAAACCTTATATTTTCATTGAACTGTCAGTAAAAAGGGTTTATTCCTCAGAAATGTGAGCAAGCTGACAACTCTTTTATCACTGTGCTAGATAGGAGGGGGAGTGGTTTATTGAAACTGCTATTAGTTTTTCATTAATTTGTGAAAGGAGAAGGCTTACTAAAAGATTCTTAAGATGGTTTGTGCTGTATGCCAGGAAGCTCTCATTTGGCAGTTTTTTGTAGAGCTAAATCGATTGTAAAGGTATCACTTTCTGACCGATTTAAGTTCTTTTCGTATTTTGGCAAAATCATTGTTACATCTCCCCAAAAAAGAAAACAAAAAAAATATAGAAATTCCCAAACAAAAGACTTCTTGCTTCTGTAATTAAATTGTAAAGGGAAAGTAAACAACAACTTTGAGAGCAAAATGTTATGATGAGATATTTTATCATGGGGGGGGGGGAAGGGGGATAAAGGAAGAAAGGTCTCTTACTTGACGATTGCCATGCCTGCTCAGTATATCCTCCAAATATGTAATTTCCGCTCTTAATCACTGTAACTGTTGGTCCTTTGTTATCACAGCGGGAGTGAAAGTTAGAGGCGGTCCATCCATCGCGAGAAGCTCGGTATAACAACACGTAATCGTCGCTTAAGCTTTCGCGAGTGTGCTTCAACCAGTCCACCAAGGTTTCGCGCTGTTCTGAAGAGAGAATTGCAGAATCTTTAAACGGTTTTGCTTTCAACTCATCGAGTATCCCATCGATTTGATAGAATTCTGCCTCGTTTAACAACTCCTTGCGAACGACTTTATCGTCCGGTAAGACGAGTTTCCCAGTGCGAAGATAATTTAAGATATGTCGGAAGTGTGTTCCATCTCGATCGATGAAGTAAGATCCATCATCACCAGGTTTTGTGTCAAATCTGCCTGAAAACATGGCATGTAACATGGAACCTGTGAAAACAAGATGAACAAAACCCTTTTAATACCTAAATCCGATTTTTTCAAAAAGAATCAACTTCATTTACCCAATTTGGCCAAATTCGATGGCGGGTGGCATCGAACATCACAAAGCATTCAACCATATCGAAAATGTCTTTTAGCGTGATGTATTCAATTAATTACTGAAAATAATGGCGGATTATTTAAGATTGCGTTCCACGTGTCTGTTCGTTTTAAGAAAAGAGACAGGTGTAAGCTCTTTTAATAGCAGAAGTCAGCCTTCAAAACGTAAGAATTTTTTTTCTCAACTAATAAAACAGCTACGAACGCAAACAGGATTTGAATTAATGGATAACAATTGAATGGAAGCGAACTTTGTTCAGTATATCAGACAGCTAGATCTCAGTCTTAGTTCAAAATTCAAAACTTGCTTCAAAGTACCTGGATCTTTAGTCATAGTCGCCAAACTTGTGGAGAAAAAATGGCCTCCGACGTTGAGTTTCAGCATGGTCGAGAAATGAACATGCTCGAGCTTCTTTGCCACCTCGTCAAACGCATTTCTTTCCTTGCGAAGCTTGTTCGTCTCACGCTTCAGAATGTCGAAAGCGTCTTTGATGTGTTTATTTACTTCGTCTAAGGCTTCATCGTCGGGTAATTCTTTCTTTGGGATACGCTTCGAAGACATCTTAATTCAAGGGGGTTATACAAAAGGACAGGAATCGAAATTAAACTTTTTTCCGAGAAGTCCGAGATAATTCGTCTAATCTGAGAATGTCCGTGCTGCTTTGATCCTCGGTTTGTTGACTTCTCGGAAATTTATGGGTGAATCAATTTAATCATGCATAAATGTCAAGTCGTCACGCCATGCATGAAAATTAATGATGTTAATCATCAATAACTGTGATTCTATATTTACACCATTTAGCTGAACACCACTGACTTTGCAAGAAACCCGCTATTAGAATGAAATCGCTAAATTCAACCAAATGCAAAGAGGAGAAAATAACATTTAAAATTAATGCCAGACGAGGAGATGAATGAAAATAATATAGAACTTTACAAAAGATAGAAAGGATGTATGAAAATGTTATGGTTTTGATAGTTCTCTGATTTTCCTGGATCGACAAAAGTAAGTATCCGCAGAAAAAAATTTCTTAAAATAATAAGCCACAAAACTTACTCAAAGGGTGGATAACGCTATCTTCTGGATAAATCTCTATCTGTTGGATAATTCAGCATTCTTTTTTAACTCTTATCCGCTGGATAGCGATTTATCCTTTAGATAGAATTTTTCGCCATCCGGCCTTCGAATGGCCGGGGCTTTGATTATAGAGTATGCATCGGTCCAAGGTGCGATTTCTTAGCCTCTCTTTCTCGGTGTAGAGAACTTGTTATGCTTGAAATTCGAATTTTCCACCTGAGGATTACATATAACACTACTTCTCATCTCATTACAGAACCAAGACGACTGGAGCAACGCTTAATTTTAAGGAGAAAAGAAATTTAGATGGAAATGACGGTTCCTTTTTTTTTTTTTTTTTTTTTAATATGACCTCGCATAAGTACAAAACACGACCTTCCTTTCAGCTCTAAAGAGTATTGACCTAAGATAGTTTTAAAAAATTTGGCAACCCCATAAATTTTAATGAGAAGCCAGTTAAAAAACCTTACTCACCCTCCCCCCTCCCCAATACAACCATGATGAAACAAACTGACCCTACCTGCCCCCACCCACGGTTCCTGTCGAAACACCTTAAGTGACTCTTACCCTTTATTAGTACATTTACGGGCAGTCTTCTTTGCAAATGCTTTTCCGTCCAGTATGTATTTCCTAGAGATCTCGAGACAGAATCAGCACACTCTAGCAAGTTTCACAGAAGTTTATTCTAAGAATTCTGCCCTCAGGTCTCGGTAACAACTGAACCCTATTCTAAAATGACAAACCGATCGACCATTTTATCAATGTAATTATAAGAAAAACATGAAAAAGACACAATTTTCTGGAAAGCAGTACCGATCGCCCCAATTGCAGAATTATATCGAAGCATTTTCACTGCTTCTCAAAGCCAAAAACTTCCATTTCACTAATGGTGAAATTCTGGTTCCCTTGAAGAAATGTGGCAGCATTCTGACCGGTAGGACACTGGTACGAGTTATTCAGGCTGACACTGCAGTTGTTAGAATTTGGAGCACTGACAATACGAAGGTCATGGCCACTTCCAAATGTGGGCCCATACCCATTGTGACAGTGGACTGCATTCCCCTCTTTTCCAGTTATCAGTGGTAGCTTTGAAGGGGGTAAACTGTTTGGGTTGACAAGGCTGAACAGGAAAGACTCAGGAGCTTTTTTGTAATTGGCTCCTCCAGCTGAACAACAACAACAACAAAAGTCTCGGATTATAAAACGTTCTCTACATTGACCAGATGATTTACCCATCCAAAACGGTCCGAGAGGCTCTTAGAGAAGAGTGAGTAAAAGTTCCTTTATATGAGTATAAAACTCTTCTTATGCATTGACATTTTCGGAGGGATTTTTTCTAACAGTCTTACATTTTCTCAGCACAGTCACGATGTAGTCACGTGTGATGTAGATCGCGACATTTCGACTGCATACTGCTTCTTCAGGCGATGAGGTCGACTGGTCATGCGTGATCTTATGAGCATGATGCTCTGCTGTGATTAGTTGTTTTTCAACAGCTCTGATTGGAAAATGGAAAAAGGATTGAAATGCACCAATCAGAGCTGTTAAAAAACAGCTAATCTCAGCAGAGCATCAGGCTTTTAAGATCACGCATGACTAGTCGACCTCATCGTCTGAAGAAGACTAAAAGTATGCAGTGGAAACGTCGCGATCTACATCACACGTGACTACATCGTGAGAAAAACGAAAAAACTTAGCTTTTAGAATGCTTTTTCTATTATTCAACCATCAACCGAACAAGTTGGTGTAAACGAAAAATAAATCGGTCGTAACAACCTAAACGGCAAAGTCAGCACGGCATTTAAGTTAATGTCAACAATCGACTTTAAAACCCCTACCCCCCCCTTCCTTACTGCACACGTCATTTTCTCTTCAAATCTCTTCGGCCTCGAAACTGTCCCAACGGAAACGTTGCCTCATATAAACATTTTCTCCTGAACTCTAAACTTGCCGCGCGCGGTATAAACTACCCGAAGGTAAAGTCTCGGAGGATAACGAACAAAAGTGCCTTTGTCTAAAAATAATTCAAACCATGACAATAGATTCTGCGTGACGGGCAAAATTTAAATCAAATAATTTTTGCGGCTAGTTTAATTTTGGGAGGAATGAGACTTTTCATTGGAGAATGGTCACAAGTTAGAATAGCGAGGGAAATTTTGGGCTTACCTGTCTTTCCAATATGCAGATGTCACGCAATTCGAAACTCAACTTTTTGTTCGATGAAAACACTTTTTATTCTTGTTATTATTATTATTTAATTTTTATGTCAAAGTACTTCTGAGGGGTTAATTGACAGTATTGAGCCTTTTTCATAGAGGAATGGTCACGAGTTAAACGAAGTGAGGGATCATGAGCCTACTTCCGTCTTCCCAACATACAGACGTCACGCAATTCGAAACTCAACTTTTTATTTGAAGAAAACAAAAGACTACAACAAAAGTTAGTGAAAAGTGCGTTAGAGTTATAAGGACTTACCAGGTTGATCCCATTGTTCTTCAGTGTATCCTCCAAACACGTAGTTCCCACTCTTGATTACTATAACTGTGGGTCCTTTGCCGTCACAGTAAGAGTGAAAGTTGGCAGCTGTCCAACCATTCTGGGAAGCGCGGTATAACAAAACGTAGTCGTCACTTGCACTTTCGATGGTTTCCTTCAGGAAGTCGATCAGTTGTTTTCGTTGCTCTGATGAAAGGATCGTAGAAGCGTTGAACGGCCTTGCTCTCAAATCTTCAATTATTCCTTCGATCTGGTAAAACTCGGCTTCGGTTAGTAATTCGTTACGCACAATTTTGTCATCTGGTAGCATAAGTTTTCCAGTGCGAAGATAATTTAAGATATGTCGGAAGTGTGTTCCATCTCGATCGATAAAGTAAGATCCATCCTCGCCAGGTTTTGTGTCAAATCTTCCAGAAAACATGGCGTGCAGCATCGACCCTGAGAATAAAAACATATATTAGTGTCTATAGCTGCCCTTTAAGAGGAGTTTTCACAAGAAAGTTGGGGTGAAATCTTTTCCCCGAACTAGCTTACAAATATTTTTCACAGTCGAGTACACTTCTACTCAAAAGCAAAGTTTATAAATACTAGACTAAATAAAAATGTACGAAAAAGCGTCAGAAACTATTTTTTCCACAAACAGAGCTTTTTCTCTATGGGGCAAAACTTGTAGTTTGTGATTTAGGTTCCTCTATCAAACCGCCGAAAGTGAAAGTAGTTCAAGTGCATAATTTTATATCATTAGATGTTATACCATGATATTTCCATTGAAGGACCAACTGGACTGATTTCGTTAAAACGTCTGTTAATTTTATAAGAGGTACCTGGATCTTTGTTCATAGTCTCCAAACTGGTATCGAAACGGTGGCCGCCGACATTAAGTTTCAGCATCTTTGAGAAGTGGATGTGCTCAAGTTTCTTCGCCACCTCGTCAAAAGCCTCCTTCTCTTTGCGAACTTTATTCGTCTCTCGCTTCAGAATATTAAAAGCCTCTCTAACGTGTTGGTTTACTTCCTCCAGGGCTTCATCGCCGGGCGAATTGTGCTCTTCTTCCGACTTACGCGATAACGACATCTTCCTTGTAATCAAACGACGCTTTACTCAAGAATGTAGAGAATACAGTGAAACTCGAGCTTGTTTGTTTGCTAAAATATTCTGATTATTTTTTCCTAGTATTTCAGTTTCGTGGTAAATTTTAGCGCACGATCAGCATACTTTGTTACTGACCTACGAACAGAGTGGCCTGAATTAATTTCCACTACTTATCTTGAGGCTGATATTTAAGCAACCGGCAAATTTAAATAAAACACGTGAAAACGCTAATTTAAGTCATCTCTTGTTTGAATAAAGCTAACTTCAAAGCCAAAATACTGTTCAGCTCAGTTTCCAAAAATTAGGAAGGACTGTACCACGTATCCTCACAAACGAATGACATGCCTTCCTTTTCTTCTTTACCACTAGGACGCATATTTCACATCTTTTTTTTTATTTGGACAAATAAACGAAAATGTGCAATACTTGCTACTCTCGATTGCCACAAATGAGGCATTCGACTTTGCTGTTTTTCAGAAGGAAAAGTTTTGATCGTTTGGTCTGATCGTTCACGTGAGAGTAATCCTACAAATAACTTTTGTCGGCTAAAGTCAGTTACGTTTCTACAGCTAAGAGGAGTCACAAGAGCAGTCATCATATGCGTCAGCCTTTTAATTCTTTACGGTGGCCAATTTACATTTTCAACTCAGTTGTTAACACTAAATTACTTGCTATACTCTCCCAGCGACGTAGCACCGCAGTTTCTTTAGAAACTTAACCCCTTTAGTCATTTAAATTGTCGATCGCAGGGACTCGAATCAACAACATGAGCAGAAGTCACCATCAGAAGTCACTAAGTGAGTAGTTTACGGTCAGTCCGATTTGTTGGCTAGACATCGTGCCTGAAAGCTTTCAGAGCTAGGTTGTCTCACAGAAGTTAAAAAAAACCACAAGATTCAACGTCAATGTCTACAAAAATGCATGCCTTTTTTTTGGAGGGGGGAGGATAAAAGTGACATTAGTTGTTTTAAAAGTTTTTATTTAAATGTTAAAAAGAAAGTGCCTTAGGACTGGCCAGAGTTGATCCAATTACGCATGCCAAACGTTTGACCGCTGCGTTGTTTTTCGTCCTCTTGACGCACGTCTATATAACCATCGTGGCGTGGGCTCAGATTTAGAACTCAGCACCAAGCCACCATTGCGTGGTGGAAAAAGAATTTTCAGTGCACTTATGTTGAGAATTGGTAATGTCATAAAATCCAAAATTATCTTCGCCCATCAGGGCACCTGTACTTGGATCCCAAGAACAACCGTTTCTTCTGCTCCAGTATGAATCAGTATGCATATGTTCGTTATCACGCTGCACAAGCATCCCCGTGCAATTCGTACAACTTCTTCCTCGAACTGAAATGTACTCATACTTCTGACAGCTATCTTGGTTGACAAACGTTAGGATGTCCGTATCTTGGAGAGTCGTTCGTGCGTAGTCGGTGAAATTAAGGCCTGACAGGAAATTGCATGTCACGCGCCAGTGGGTCGAGTTGTCCCGGATGTTGACCATGGCTTGGTAAGATACTCGATAATCATTCCAGTTCAATCTTGTTTCGTTTCGCGGAACGTTGAAATAAAAAGGTTTTCGTTTGTAAAAGTCCTTATTTTCTTGAGAGAATGACTCGATGAGAGTCCAAACTTTTCCGGGTTCCGAGTCAAAATCACAATAACTCTGAATCGTGTCATTAAGCTTATACACGCCTGACTTCGACTCTGGTTTCAGCTTCAAGTAAGATTGGCATGAATCGACTCTTGGGTGGAATATCTCGCATCTCTTTCCCTGGTAATGCTGTGGACATGTGCAGTTGTATTTTTCTTTGACGTCATCGCAATTCTCTGTGCATGTGCCTCCATTAAGGCAAGGGTTTGATCGACAACAGCCATTCAGGCATCTACTATTTTCCTGAAACCGAACATGAACGACAAAAAAACGAAAATTAAAATTTCACTGAATAGAATAAGAGGTCATTGTTCTTTTCTTTGTCTTTTAAAAAAATGAGTATTGCAACAGAAAATATTTTCAAAGAAACTCTTCATTTCATATAAGGCGAATTTTTCGAAGCGACTCGTCCCCACCAAAAATCATGATCAATGGCTTTTCAGCCAATTTTGACTTGATCATTTACGTTTTCCAGCTTTGGAGACAGTATTCGTGTAGATACTTAAAGTCCTTGCTGGCTCCTGTTTCAGCTGATCCTATTGTTCACAGTTTGTTTACGAATCTTATTCGAAAACTACTCTACAAGAACTCAAACTTACCCTCATGCCGTTTTGCTGCACATGATACAAAACAGTTCCTGGTCTTTTCACTCGCTTCCCGATGGCCCCATCAATGTCCGTGTCCAGAAGCTCACACATTTTTCCACTGACTTGAAACGCAATGCAATCGCAGTGTTTGGCGCAGTGACGAAAACACTTCCAGGGGTCCCGCACGCTTTCAGCCTGAATTGTATGATTTTCTATGCTGAAGTTCTCCATGAATATGTTATTGATGAAGATCAGTGGTGTTTCCATTTGGTTGCTCGCTGTAGTAATTGGAGGGATTAGCAGAAACGCTGTTCCACAGTTGAGCCATAGAAAGGTGAAATATGAATCCATCTTATTCTGAAAAATAGTTCAGTGAAAAGGTTGTCGTGCTTTTCAAAGAAATATAAAATTAAAACTCCTTAACAGCCTGCTTTTAATGAGACTGGAGCCAAATAAACAATGAATAGCATCTATTGGTGAAAAAATAAATAATCAGCTATTTTTTCACGAACATTTTCTGTTTCAAGACGGAAGCATTTTTCAGATCGAAGCAAAAATGAAAACTACGGAGCTCTCAGACACGAATTTCCACATCAAATGAAAGCCGATTCTTTGTGTATAGCACGTGATATGTTTCATTTAACAAGTAATAAAAGTTGTCTAAAAAAAGCTTTCTTAAAAAGAACTTACACATTTGTCGAGAAAATACAGAGAAATGTTAGCAAGTTTGTGATAAAAGTGTACCTTCACAGTGCGATTCCTTTTAAGAACTTTTGTAGCTTCCGAAAATAATACACCCATATAACAACGGAAATCAAGATTGAGCGATTTTTGGAAATCACAAGTATCTCTCAGGTTAAAGAAAGAAATTGATCATCACTGTTTAGTAAAAAACTTTTGTTAAAAACTCGTGAAACAAAATACACAAAAGGAAAAGTCATCACTTATCACGGAGATAACTCTAAGAGTTAGAGCAAAATTATTCTTGAAGAATAAAATTCCAGGTTTTTAAACACTTTTTTTTTCGCCTTAAAATTTATAAGTATCGTGAACTAAAACAATGCTTTACTTCTTCAATTTCTCGTGATGATCAACTGTGTATCCATTGACAAAAAAAAAATCCAAAACAACTTTGTGTATAACACGTCATATTTTTTTAACACAAAAAATTGTTTGAAAAAAGAAAGGAAACTTACTGAAAAAAAAACTGATAAATTTGTTAAGAAATATAGAAGCATGTTAGCGAGTCTTTTATAAAAGTGAACCTTTAAATTGCGATTCTTTTTAAGAACCTCTGTAGCTTCCGAGAATATTACACCCATATAACTACTAAATTCAAGATTAGGCGATTTCCTGAAATCACAAGTATCTCTCAGGTTGAGATAAGAGATTAGCGCCTAAAGAAAAACTTTTGCTAAAAACTTGTGAAACAAAAGAGGCAAATGAAAAGGTCATTGCTGATCACGAAGACCACTCTAAGAGTCAGGTAATAAAAATTATTCTTGAAGGCTTTTAAACGATTTTTCACAATAGCCTCAAGGAGTGTCGTGAATTGAAACAGTGCCGCTTACGACTTCAATTTTTCATGATGATTTATTGCGCATCCGCTGAAAAAAAAGACCAAGGCAGCTTCTCTCTTGAAAGAACTCTGTATTTAATACATTTGATAAGAAAAGCGCTGTTTTAAACGAAAACGTAGCTTAAGAAAAGAAAAACCAGGACGGACCACGAGCTCGTATCCTTTAGCACTCAGGAGGGCTGACTGTTTACCATCTTCACTCGATTCGAAAGCTGAGGAGAGGAAATATGTTTCTAATGTCCTAAAGGCAAATGGCTCTACAAAAACGAAAACGTGTTCGTTAGAGACCAATTAGAACAGAAAAATTGTCCAGGACAACTTGCTGATGTATGATTCTCCCAGAATTTTCCGGCTTTTTAGTAAATCTTCTTCAAAAAATATCCTTAGAAGGTCATTTGCACCGGAGAATCTTGCTCTTTACAAGGAAAGTTGTTGTGGAAGAACTAGTCATGTCATATTGAAATGGCTGAGAAAAACATTTGAAAGAAGGAAACTCGCTAATTGCAAATTTATCATCATGTTCCAATCCCATTCATACATGAGGACAACGTCATCTTAGCCATTGTAATATTAATTGAGAACCACTTAGTTCACTTTTAAGCAGACAAATTGAACATTTTCAGATTTCTTTTAAAATGACACAAGTTTTCCTAACCCGTTAACTCCTGAGATATGATTATTAATTCTTCTCTCTGGCTGCTTTACCTTCCCTTGTATACTGTGGTGCGAGATCAAGATAAAATCTTTTGTCAGCTGACAAGTTTGAATATTTTCTTTACGTGTTTAATTTGTCGGTTAATGTATGAATCTTACGAGGAGAAATTACATGTTAATCACTTCTGAGAGGTAAAGTGTTAAGAGGCAAAAACGTTTCGTTAAGAATTTTTTTTTTCACATTTTTTTTATCTTTCTTTCTGCACTTTCCTCGATGTCGGTGCTTCAAATCAGTTTTCTATTAAAGCTCTGAAATTATTTCTTAGAGGCTTGTGATCGATTTTTCCAAATCTACAGGCTTTGAATCATATTTTTCTAGATGCAAAGATAGGCAGGCAGTCTACGGTTGCTATGATAATCCTGGCACTCAAAGCACGAGCAAGCCATCTGAGACTTAACCTTCGGTTTTCAACTGCTTCAAAAACAGTTTTAAAAGGATTTAGAAGGAAGCCTATGATTCACATTAAAACTGCTTTTACACGTATGGAGCATTGTTACCTGGGCGATTACACAAGTTAGGAAAAATTTATGCGCTGCATCAGATTGGAAAGAAAATTGTCAACCACATCTAATAGCATGACAGTTTCTCGACAAGGATGGACTTGTCATGGAAAAGCAAATTAGGAACTTCGCGAAAATTGTCAAGAAAGCTTTGTCGTATAAAAGTAATTTTTAACACTTCGGTTATAAACCTCTTTTAAAAAGTCAAGTTTACATATTTTTAATAACATGCTGGCTATAATCAACTTTATTATATCTCCCAGCTAGAACGTGCGCTGTGATCGGTCAACTTAGCGGGCCATATTTCACTGTACGGCCCACTAAATGCAAAATTTTGTTTAAATTGTAATCTTAAACCGAAAGATATAATAAATATTTTACTAGCTTCATTTTCTCAGTCTGAAGTGTAAGTCACGGAATCTCGTATTATTCTGTTCGCACTTGGGCCATACTTGAAATCCGAGCGACAAAATATCGGTCCTTGACTTACAGTACCGACCTCAAACTCGGTTATTAAGAGTTATTTACAAGGCAGAATTTCTTGAAAACAGGTTTTAAATCCAGCTATAGCCATCTTTTTTCCTCCTCGCGATCCACCGTCAAGATTTGTAAATAATCATCTTAATAGGAAGAAACCCTTTTTTGAACAAACAGTCGGCAGAATGAATTTAACTGCTGCACTTAAACAAGTAAGACGTGCAAAATATGTATTTCTCATTTTGCGTTACACTTTAACGGGCGCTAAAAAGTATCAAACGAGCTAGAGTTTTGAAGCTGAGCGTGAAAACGAAAGCGCGCGCGAGGACAGCACGCATGTTTTTCTTTTGTACACGTTCGAGTTAAGCTGTCTTCAACAGTATAGTAGCTATAGAAACAATCATTTTGAATGATTTTTACTACGGATACAATTCACAAATGAAACGACTGTGCGCTTTGGTGTAAAATACAGATACTCTAAATAATTCTTTATGATAATCTTTGGGTAAATCGTAGTCTTCGCTTTAACATTAAACGCATCTCCAATCGCTTTTTGTTAAATTTGCAACAATTTCAACCTGGAATTTTACTTTAAGTTTGACGACCAAAGCGAATTTTTTTCGCTGAATTGAGGCGCGAAACCTTGAACGAATTTTGTAACAAAAACTAACCTGTATCATTTGGCTTTCAAAACATGTCAACGAAACATCTTCCTTTCGCACAAAATTGGCGTTAAGATCCGTCCAGGGGGAAGGTTACTTCCTCAGATCGCAGCTAGGGCAACGAAACTCACCTCCAAAAAACAACAAAAGTAATTTCCTTATTCTTCTCCATGTCGATGGTGTCAAACAAAACCGCTTACTGTTAAAAACTCTGTTACGTATCAAACTTCTTGTAAAATATGCGTTATTTCTGTCCCCAAACTGGCATTCGATATTTTTATCTCCTTGAGGCAGGTGTATTTGAAATGGATAATAGTTTGTGGATATTATCTTCGTAGAAGGAAATGAAAGCTGATTTAAATTCACGTGAAAGGAAATGGAATTTAAAACATGATTAAAGCTTTTCCTTTTTTTTTAGCAATGATGCCTCCATTAGCCTCAGTATGCTGTGAGTTAGCAGGAGAAAGCTCTATAATCTGATAGAAAACAAACTGAAAACAAATAATTGGCTTCAGTTGTCATATACCCTTTAACTTTGCCAAAGGAATTTTCTTTTGTAATTAAATCAAGATTGATGTTTACAATTTAGCCTGTTTCATCGGAATAACTGCCGTAAACTGCTAATTTAGGGCGCAAGAGCAAACTTGTACCACAACCAAGGAGTATCACGCATCATACGGAGATTTTGATTACGATAGAGAGTTAATACAGCCGTATGTTGAAAAACAAAAGGTTCCAGTCAGTAACAAAAAGCCTTATAATTGTAATTTGTTCCAATTTTTTTCTTGTTTTTCTCTTTTTTTAGGATATAACCCTACGTTCATTTTGAGCGACTTGTTAACTTGTCGAAGGCTAACAAAGCTTAACAATCTGGCTGTCGAGATTTGACGAAGACTGCCTCAGATTAGCAATATCGCTGTCAGGAATTGACGAAAACCGACGAAGACTTGCACTATAGCTGACGAAACGTGACGAAGACTGAAGAAGACTAGCAGTATATCTGTCGGGACTTAACGAAGACCGACGAACATTAGCGGTGAAGCTGGCGAAACGTAAAGAAGACAAACGACGACTAGTAGTGTGGCAGTCGAGGCTTAACGAACACCGACGAACCAATCAAGTTTATATCTTGTCCTCACGCTATTTGCAAACTCTTTGACTTGGAGAAAAATATCATTTCAGTTTCTTCAGTTTTGGTTTCATCAGTCATGACATCAAAATTCTAAAAATAGCTTGATGAACCCCAAGGTTTTCATTGCTAGTAAATGATGTTTCTGTGTAGCTGATGATAACGCTGTGGTATGATCTGATTTATTCGAGGGAGAAAACTTTCGGAAGTTAACTGTAACCACATTATTTCCCTTCATATAATTGTTATGGGACAAATATATATCTTCCTAATAATGTTTTGGTCTGCAGCTAAGATAAATTACGATCAAGAACTGTGTTTAAGGGCAGATAGTTAAATTTAAACAGTTCCACCATAATGCTACAAAGTGCTCACTTTTTTTTAACCCCCTTAGATGTGTTCGACATTTAACTTCCCTCTACAAAATCAATGAATTATCCAGCAAAGAGTTGATACAAAAAGGGAATGATGCAACACCAAATTCTAATGAACGAAAATGTATAGCAGCTGAAAGGGAAAGTTTGGAAATGGATCATAAATAAATAATATAGTAAACAAAGCTGTCGTTGTGCGGGGCCGGACGGCTTTCTCCTGACCAGCTCACGTCAAACCGTCTTGCCCTACACACGTCTGCTTTAACGACATCAACAATAGCAAAAATCCTTTTTTGAGCACGCTACACCGAGGAGAGCAAGGCTCGTTAGAACGTGTACGTGAGCTATGATTTTCTATATAATTGAACATTTTTTTTTTTATTTTGACTGGTGCATTTCAGATGAATAAAGTCCACTTAGGAAGCTTTAATGAAATTATTTCAATACATTAATATTTACAAGCTTAAGGTAATCTTCGTCGGACGTGTGTTGTTAATCATCAACTATTTACCAAAGTGGAGGTGACTTGTGGTGGAAAATTTTTTTTCCATATGCTGAAACAGTGAGATGATATTGTACAAAAAGATGATTATAACTCATTTATTTCGATCACAAAATATTCGGGCAAAAATTCCACGTATACTGCTCGGAGGTAAATTGAAAAGAATTTTCGGAGTTTGAGTAGCCAATCAGAAAGCGCCTTCATCGACATCCACTGTTTTAATATACAATATAACAATATATATACTCGGATAAACTGCGGGGGGAAAAAGGAATAAACAGCAGAATTATGGCGCCAAAACATTTCACAGAAGATGGAACTCAGAAAATAACATTTCAAGAACTGGAATGCTCCCTCTCTCTCGTCGGTGAGGTACAGCAACAACCAATTTATTACGCTATATTCAACATTGTCCTCTCCATCACAGCATTTCTTGGCAATTCAATCATCCTTGTTGCCCTTCACAAGGAATCATCCCTTCATCCACCTTCTAAACTCTTGTATCGTTGTCTAGCAGTAACTGATCTTTTGGTTGGTCTTGTCAGCCAGCCTTGCCATGTTTCTTATTGGATGTCCTTGGTTCAGGAACACTGGAGTCTTTGTCCATACGCGAGGGACGCAGCTTACATAACAAGCTATGCATTATGCGGAGTGTCTTTGTCTACGATGACGGCCATAAGCGTGGACAGACTTCTCGCTCTGTTATTGGGGCTGAGATACAGACAAAAGGTAACTTTGAAGCGCACATATGTCATTGTAGCTACCCTTTGGATCCTATCTAGTGTCACTGCATCATTCTTCATTTTGAACAACCTTTTTACCATTTGGGCTGGCCGTATTTTTATACCGTCTTGCCTTGTAATTTCAGTTGGTTCTTACGCAAAGATTTTCCGCACTCTCAGTCATCACCAGACTCAGGTACAAGATCATGTTCAACAACAGCCGAACCAACCAAATGCACTGAACATGGCGCAATACAGAAAGGCAGTGTATAGTGCACTGTGGGTGCAGTTAGCATTAGTTGTTTGTTATTTGCCCTATGGTATAATGGAAATTGTGACCAGTCATAGAAAAACCTATTCATCCCATTCAGTAGTTAGTAGAGAAATAGCAATCATCTTAGTTTACTTTAACTCCACTTTAAATCCGTTCCTTTATTGCTGGAAGATTTCTGAGATAAGACAAGCAGTAAGACAGACAATCAGACAAGCGCTTTTTTGTCTATGGCGTTAGACTCTATTCGAGTGAATTTTCAATTTTTTTTATTCCAAACCAAACTTTATCAGTTACAGTTGCTCCAAGTAGTCGCTCGTAGGATACTTCCCTGTATTGTTAACAATTGTTGACCTAGAATATTTACCGAACCGCGAAGCGGCGGGGTAAATATTTACCATTTTCACCGATTCTGAAGTAAATAATTGTAACAGTTTCAGTTAATTTATGTTTCACGATTTTAGCAAAATGCAATCGTAGAATAAAATTCATGCTAATTACTTAATTGGTGAGGACCATCGGAGGACACAGAAAAATGTCTCCGCAATTCCGTGTTTCTTGTTTACACTCATAAAACAGCAAAAAAACTGCTCACAATCAAAACAAAATTCGCTATTTCAAATAAGTCAAACGTTTTTCGCGTTACTGCATGTATACAGGAGCCGCCGTGTCAGCGATGTGGTCATAGCCTCGAATTTGGTATTATTATTTACGAAATATAATTCTTAAGTGTGAATATGTTTGTTCCTTTAGCTGTTAGGCAAAATTACAGTCAACGCTGGAAATAAAATTGATCATAGCTGGTTCTGTGACACTCGCGCATGTCAATTGTTTCCCCGAGATGAATTTGATTGCATAAAAAAGAGAAAAAGGAATTGAACATAGTCACTTTCAATGTCTGTAAATATTCTTGAATCTTATAACGCATAAATAAAAAAGCCGCAATCACCTGTCATATGTTTAAAAGTTATTTTCCTCATCAAAATTAAAATTATTTTCTTCCTATTTTTATCTTGGCATTTGCAAGTCAGATTCTCACTCTTAAGAAAAAAAAAAGATGGAGTTTATTAATAAATAATGGGATTGTTTAAATTATCTTGGAATCTTTGAACGCAAAAGTATTTTACAAATGCCATGTATTGGGAGATTACCAAGTTTTAAGAATTTTCCATACCAGCAACAGTTTCAGCCTGGACTTTCTCTGGCAAGTTTTAATTTCTTATGTTTGCAATTGACAGAAATAAGTTTTCAAATTTTTACGGGTTAAACTCTCTATCTATTAAGAGAAAAAAAGTAGAATAAATAATTTTTATCAAATGCAGTTTGCCCTAAGATCTTTTTACTCATACTGTGAGGTAAGAATGCCACAGATGTCTTCACATGTTTATCTCGCGTCAGTTTCTTGGACCGATTGAAAACGTTGGTTAGAAATTTTATCTTCAGTTTCCCGGAAATGAGAATGATTCAAGTCTCAACTTTACATAACGGTATCTTATTTTATTTTGTATGGTTTGTCTGGGTGAAAAAGGACAATTTGTGGCGCCAAGAAATGGTAATTAAACAGATGTCTGTCTATGAAGTTATAACCACACATTTGTCTCCATGCTTGCCTTGCTTTTGTTATTCCAACCTGAGGCACACGAAAAATTGTGTTATTAAAATCAGGAACGGGGAAAGGGGAACGGAAGACGGGGGTAGAAAGTACAGCGGCAATCCGCATAAAATGACGGAAGTCAACACACAAAAAGAGTCTGAACACCAGCTTTGAGCAAGCGTGCTTCGAAATACCGTCCTCAGAGCAATCGTTAAGTGATGGGCGATAAGGGAAGATTTATTGAAGAATTATGCGCGATTTTTCACTACAAAAATATTGCTTACTCTGATATAAATTACAGTTGCATTAAAAGTTAGGTCTTTGGAGAAATGCGAGTCAGAAACTTAATTAAAGGCGGTAAAGCAATTTATGTCACATAAACATTACTGTAGATATGAATTTTAGATACAACCTTTAGATGCTTTTCCCATCTTTACCTTCATGTTGATGTCTTTTAGTGGCACGAATCGCAAGGTCTTATTTAAGGATATACTTGTTTCTACTCTGCAAGGCTGGTGCCTCTTCAGAACACTGTGTCTGCATCAGTTCATATGAACAAGGACGTTTTATGCGTGGTGCAAACGCACGTCTTAAGTTATTCATAATCGCTGCATTTAGAAAAGTATTGATGTCATCTTAGAAAACAGCAACAAATGAAAAAAGGAACCTTCATGACCTTGTTGTAAGATCATTGGGAGGAGTTTTGAAAAAATATGCAATGTGGTTACATTTCATATTTGATCGTTGAAATGTTTAGTAGCCCACGATAGACTCTCGGATACTTGCCCTTCCGATGATCCGATTTCTATAGCGCTTGCAATCTTTATCAGAATAGAAATAAATTTTGAAATAAAAGATCGAGATGGATAATTTCTTTCGTCATCTGTGATGCTTGCTCTGACGACCGAGTTGAGATAGTGCTCTGTTCCACGTTCTCTGTTCCCCATTTCCCCTTTCTCGTTGCCCGTTGGCCCTTCTCCGTTGCCCGTCACCCGTTGCCTGTTTCCCGTTGCCCGTTGCCCATTGTTCATTGCCCGTTACCAGTTCCTCGTTCCCCGTTCCTCGTTTTAGTAACATTTCTTGCAAGTCACCGATAAACGGCAGGCAAAAAGAACACGACACTACAATTATGGCCACAACAAACGCAACAGCCGGTGTAACTCAGGCGAAAACATTTAAAGAACTGGCATGTTCTCCATCTTTTGCTGGTGGATTACAACAACAATCAATATGTTTCTCAGCAATTAATATTTTTTTCTCCATCACGGCACTTCTTGGAAATTCTTTCATCCTTGTTGCCCTTCACAAAGAATCTTCCCTTCATCCGCCATCCAAACTCTTGTATCGTTGTCTGGCAATAACTGATCTGTTGGTAGGTCTTGTTAGCCAGCCTCTCTATGCTACTTATTGGATGTCCTTGGTTTACGAAAACTGGAGTCTTTGTCGATACGCAATTGATACCGTTTGCGTAACAGGCTACACATTGTGTGGAGTTTCTCTGTTTACAATGGCGGCCATAAGCTTAGATAGACTTCTCGCCCTGTTATTAGGGCTGAGATACAGACAAATTGTAACGTTGAAGCGCACATATATCATTGAAGCCATCTTTTGGATTATATGTAGCGTCGGTGCTTTATGTTATTTGCTAGATTACCGCATAACCTTTTCGTGTGGCTGTTTCATTATTTCATCTTGCCTACTAATCTCAATCATCGCGCACTCAAAGATTTTCCTCACTCTTAGTCATCGACAGGCTCAAGTACATGATCAACAACAGCCGAGCCAATCAAATGCACTGAATATGGCGCGATACAGAAAAGCAGTGTACAGTGCGCTGTGGGTGCAGTTAGCATTTGTTATTTGTTATGTACCATATAGTGTATTGGTTATCACGCTTCATTTCAGAAAGTCATATCCATCACATTCCCTCAAAGGAATAGCGACGGTGTTTGCTTTCTTTAACTCTACTTTAAACCCGTTTCTGTACTGCTGGACGATCAGTGAAGTAAGGCAAGCGGTAAAGCAGACAATCAGGCAGGCATCTTGCTTCTCATGGATCTAGATGATTCGACGGTTGGATATCCAAAAACAAAGATCAATTAACCAAATTTGGATTGTCAGAGGAGAAGGAGAGTATTGGTTACCGGATAAAAAGGGTGGATTAGTAGTGGTGATTCAGACTATAAGTTGGGTACAACTGTAAGGCTAACTAAAAATAAACTTCACTGAAATAAGCCCCCATATCATAGAGAAAGAGAATGCATTTAAGTTTATGAAGGTAATTTATTTTACTATGGTTTTCAGAAGAGAGGGAATGGGTGCATGTCTTAGTTTGGGTACGAAGAACAATAAGATCAGCAGATACCACACAAGCTTCGTTCGTTTGATCATGAAAACTCTAATAATGATAACTAGACCAGAGGAACATCTGAAGGACAGGGAAAATGGGTCAGTAATTCTGTATTTAATTTCTTGCTTTCAATCACACTTTTAACAAAACGACACTCGTAACCAAGAATATGCAAAATTTTTCTAATTACAGATGGTTCGTGGGATTTCAGTGGCTGCTTATTTCTATGTCTAACTTTGTCTGTCATGGGAAAGTATTTCTGAAAATTGTGACAATATCCTAAGAAAACGCCTTTCGCTCTACCGCATGTAAACAGAAGCTGCCGTGTCAGCCAAAAAGCTATGGCCTCGAATTTCCTATTATTATTGGGAAATAAGTCGCAATGTTTAAGAAAACATGAGAGAATGTTGCTCTGTTAGCTGCCAAACTTAATAAATTCCACGTTTAAAATAAAATTAGTCTTTGCTTGTGCTAAAGTCAAATGTTTGCCCGAGGGTGACTTTGAATGCGAAAAAAGAAAATCGAAATTAAACACACACTAAGTTTCTGATATTATTCTTTTTGTACTTTTTGGATTTTGTAACGCATAGACAGAATGAAAGACGCTCTCATTCACCTGCCACATGTGTTATCATCAAAATAATTAAAATTCTTATCATCATTTTTTTGAATTGGCATTTGAAAGTCTGATGTTAATTAATCATAAAGAAATAGAGGTAGCATTTATCGTTAGATAAGAGCATTGGTAAAGTCACTTGGTATCGTTCAAAAAAAAAGAAATATTTTAGAAAGGGCAATATATTGGGAAATTGTCAATTTCAAAACATTTTCTGCATCATGATAAACGTTTCAGCCTGCATTTACCACGGGTAAGTTTTGATCTCTAACGTCTGCAACTGACAGAATCACTTTTGAAAAATTCAGGATTAAACTCTGTATTTATTCTTTAAAAAATTCGTTCTCGTCAATTGCTGTTTGCCCAAAGAAAACATTGATCGCACTATGAAATAATACTGCTACAGATGTCTCCACATTTTCCCTCGATCAAAATGCAAATTCATACCTATGTTTATCTCTACCGGGAACTGAACACGATCGGTTTTGCCGCACACCCTAGTTTAGTGATAAAACTTCCCCTTTATTCTAAGTAACCAGGGATATAGTTTCCCCTGTGGGAAGAGGGCCAGTGTATAGTTCATGATGTTTTATATGCTCATGCAAATGCTCATGCAAATGCTCATGGCGAGGCTCACCATAGGATTAGCTTTAAAGTTATAAACAAAGGATGAAATTTCACAGAATTGCTTATTCCGTAGGATGCCTGAGGCATATCAAGGTAAAAATCCGGCTGCGTTTCTTTTTCATTCCGTAGACAAATTTCAAAGCTAGCCAACAGGGATGCGTAATTTTTTTAATCGATCGATGTTTTCGGGTGAAGTGATCAGAAGCGACAAAGACTCTAAAAATTCCCTACAATGATTTCTTGGGCTGATCTAACTGACTAATCAAAGTGGTTTACTGTAACTGCACAATTTCTTTCAATGCTACACTCAGTAGCCAACGCATCACACGGAATCGCCTTTAGCCGTCTTGTTAATTAAGAAAGGATTCCTGATATGAGCAATAGTAAATGCAAAGCGCACCCAGGAACTCCCGCAGAAAAAAAATACCAAGTTTTACGACAACGTGGAATTTTCACAGACTGCTAGCCTGTTTCATGTGTGCGCGTCATGTATCGTGTTTTCAAAAGCAGACTATCACCCACATGTAACGAAGACATAGTCTGATCAATGATGCATCTTTGAAAGTCACGGTTTTTTTGCGAACATTCTGCTTGTATGAATATAATTCATTCATTAATCAGAACTGTCACAAAATTCTCGAGCGTGATTTGTGATCACAAACCCGCTTTTAGTGCTAATAGGACAGTGTACGCGTCATGCTTGAAATTGGCTCTAACTTGGTGTAGAAGACAAAGTAAAGTCACTATAGCATTTCATCACAACCGGGAATAAGAAAACAATGAAAACAATAGCCTAATAATGTGTCTTCTACAACAAGTAAGAGCCTTGAAATTGGACAATACAGTAGGACACTTAAAAGGACAGTTAATAAGTCATCCCTACAGAACGCGTCATGTGCGCGCGCTTTTGTCTAATACTTCGCCGTGTCAACTGTTGTTGTTGTTGTTGTTTTTATGAAAATGTATGGCCGATGTCTAGTTTCTTCCTAAAATTTTGTCATAGTTTTGATTAATTGGTAACAGGACCTTGAGTCATCCAATTCTGTTTGTAATCATACTCGTGATTAGAGACCGAATTGGACTCCACTCGATCCTATTACCATTATTAATACACTTAAAAACTGTCAGAATAGAAGAGAATCAAAAAGATAAGGCGGCAAAGGGTTTTACTGTAGCGTAATACCTGTAACCGATTCATTTACAATTCTGGTTGTGTAACAAAAGGAAAGAAAAAAGCTGGGGCTTGATGATTTCAATATTCTTAAAAAACAAATTTGAAACTTTGATCATACGTTTAAATCGAATAGCTTAATGTATTGGGATAGGATCAGGAAATTAATTTTTAAATTCAATTCAATTCTCTTATTCTTGTTGCCCTTCAAAAGGAATCATCCCTCCATCCACCGTTGAAACTCTTGTATCGTTGTGTGGCAGCAACTGATCTGTTGTTTGGCCTCGGTACTCAGCCTCTCGCTGCTACTTAAAAACGAAAACCGGAGTCTCGATACGCAAGGGACGGTGGCTTCATATCAAGTTATGCATTAATTGAAGTGTCTTTTTTTTAAATGACGGCCATAAGTGTGGACAGACTTCTCGCCCTGTTGTTGCAGAGATACAGACAAACTGTAACTTTGAAAAGCATTATGTCGCTGTAGCTACCCTTTTTATTGTCTGGTTCGCTGCTTTTCGTCATGCTCTAGATCCCCTGATAACCTTTTGGGGTAGAAGTATAAGCTAAGTATAGTTCCAATACCTTCCTAATATTCTCTGTCGCCTCGTATAGAAAGATTCTCCACACTCTCCGTCGTTATCACGTTCCAGTATAAGATCATGTTCAACAGCAGCTAAGCTGGTCAAATGCATAGAACATAGCGCGATACAGAAAGGCAGTGTACAGTGCATTGTGGGTGCACTTGACTTAAGTTGTTTATTATCTGTTTTATAGTATAATGCAAATTAAGATCGTTTATAGAAAAACACAGCCTCGGTGTTACTTCGGTTTTGAAATATCTTCGGCTTTATTTTACTATAAGAAGAAAAAAAGAATGCAAAGAAAAGGGTTTGGTGGCAAAAGATCTTGTTTTTGTTATAATTTTGTTTCTAGTACTAGTGCGAAACTGACAGAGCGGAAAAAGCCACAATTATTTTTTAATTTTAAAGTTAAAGCAGTTGAGTCACCGTTGAGTCTCTATGGCCTTGGTAGAGCATCGGAGCGCGGTATCCGAAGGTCTGTGGTTCAATTCCTCATGGGGACTCAGAATTTTTTCTTTGTACCACACTCGTGACAAGACGAAAAAAACACCTTTCTTTATTTCTTTACCGAGCTCAAAACTTACCATCTCTCTCATATATCTATCTACAAACATTACGCTATCGACATTGCTGATCCTAACAGTATGCAGGACGCGTGTCATATGAACTTCGTAATAGACCTCGCTCACCACAGAGTCTCTGTGGCTTAGTGGTAGATCATCGGAGTGCGGAATCCGAAGGTCTGAGGTTTGATTCCTCATGAGGACTCAGACTTTTTTCTTTTTCCCATACTCGTGATAAGACGAAAAACATCTTTCTTTACCCATTTTGTTTAGTTTGATAATTTTTTTTCGGAGGAATCAAATTTTTTCCCTGCAGCGATGAACATCGCCAGCTTGTAGTTTAATATTCTCACTTTGCCGAAGCTGAGAATGATTCAAATCTTCACACTAGTGATACTAACTATAAATCAACCCCATAAGATATTTTTTCAGTGTAAGTGAAGAAGGATTCTTGGTCGCGTTGTAAAATAACAATAGGGACCTTAAGATACCAGGACGGGAAGCTAGGACGGCGACGGCACTGGAAGAGTAAGACTGGGACGAGTCCCGTCCTGCCCGCCAAAAACAAAATACTTAAGCGGGTGGTATTTTCGTGTATTTTTCGCTTTATAACAGCAATGGCATCCTTTAAAGACGCTAGATATCTTCTCCTGGAAAGCTATAACGATGGCATGGTAGATATGATAAATTTATTTTCTTGTATGAAGGAAACTTCTCGAAGAATCCAGAATTTCTATACGAAGAGTACGAAATGTTCGACTTGGAGGAGGTTGTAATGATCTCGGACTGCCCGCTTGTCAACTTAAAAGTACACTTGCTGAATTTTGTTTTAAGTCTTCGGCGACCTCTTCCCACTCAGTTCCTCTTTCCACTGTACCCTTTTTCGTCCCAGTAAAGGGATCAACAACCAATATTTCTCCGCATAACATCTCGTCGTGTACAGTATTCTACACCGTTGGCTTCCTGAAGATCATAATCAAAATAAATTCTTGAATAAAACGGAATATGTGAATCCGGACTGAAATGTTTAATTACAGTACAACTCAACAAGAGGCAAACAACAATTATCGAGTTGTCTAAATTTTACTCAACATCAGTTTATCCATCTGTTTTCTTCTCTCTAATCGATATGACCATTTGATTACTATAAGAAT